TCATAGCATACTCGTACATTTATCTAAATCAGGATCAAATTAGTGAGTTACAAGAAGTAGTTCCATACTGCGAAAAAAAGCTGTCAAGTTAGTCTACGTTTCAAATAGTAGTATAGAGGTTACTTTATCAATTTCAACTCAAAACTGTAATGATCAGTTAACTGCATATTTGCTAACAAACTAATTTTTTATGCTTGAGGTGATGAAATGACTGATATTAGACCACCGTCGAAAACCAGGAAGCACTGGACAACCGTTTCTTTCAATTGTGAGACTCTTTAGCAGTGCGCATCCACGATTTCGAGCGCAGGATTTGAACCCAGGGCCTTCGGATTCGCGCGCGAACACTTGACCCGTAAACCACTGAATTGGTCTGTATCGGACAGTGTTAATGTCTAACCTTAACCGATCCTCGAAATTGTTCGACTAGCTTCCATTCTATTGAGGTAGATACCTGTCTCTACACAACACGAACTAGCTCCATTGGTCACAGCTATGAGAATCCATTTGATCATATTCAGAAGTCAAATATACCAGTTAATAATTAATTAAATTCATAAGCATGTGATAATCAAGCTTACTGGGGGAACACGTGAGTAAAGAGGAAGAATGTATGTGTATGTTATTCATTGAATACAATTCAACATATGTATAAAGTATCGATTTTTGTTGTTGTTTATAACCATACACTCAATCAAAAAACTGCCACATTCATGTCAATAGCAGGTCAACTATCTAAATAATAACCTATTCTTGACCTTTCATCTAAAATAGGTTATACAAATGCAAAGTTAATGGAGACTTGCTATTATAATCTATTTACTTATTTGAACATATAAATATTGGTACAAAAAGGGGTACCGAATGCATATGCACCATACAAATCACTTGATTTATATGTGGTCAGTAATACGGCCTGGATACCCAGATCGAGGAAGATGGTTTTCTTAGGGGAGTAACATCTGGAACCTTCGACCTAAAGATCTAGCCCAAAAGGCAGTAGAGCAAAAGAGTTGTAGTCACATGATAGCCGGTCACCAATAATTGGTTCATACGCCATTAGTTCCTTCAGAATACTGGAAACTATGTGCACCAATGATTTGGAATAAGAGTTTTGCAAGTCCACTAGGCGAACTCTCCATGTCCACCAACCCGGTTAAAGCAACGGACATTCACTTTTCGCCCTCTCATTTTCGTAAACAACAACCCTGATGTGAGAAGGCAGTGAGTAGGAATTCCCTGACGGTGGTTGTATGCACCTGGTCATGTGAGAGCATTTCGAGAGGGAGAGCTGACTCTCCTCGCTATTGGTCGTACCTGGTAATTTGGGGGCTATTATAATCTACCTAAGATTATTTCATGATCAAGTGGTAAAAACTGTTGATATTCAATGTTCATTATTCCGCCAAATATGTATATATGGTACAATGTGGTCTGTTTGGAATAGAAGGATTCATATTGCCAAGACTGAGACTGGTGTTTTAGACTTAAAAGGCTGGGCTAGCCGGAAAGCAGAACCAATCAGGACTCTAGACTGCTCGCACGTATTTTACGCGTCCTTGGTCCAATCGATAATTCACTGCCCTCTATATTCGACGGTCACAAGTTATAACAATTACTCATCAGAAAAGTATTTTGATCCAACAAAAAGTTTCATGTAGAATAGTCATTTCACATTATTAAATTGGAAATGATTGATCTTCTATCAATCAATGAAATTGAAGATCTAGGGTTCTACTCTATCTGATGTATGACGTTAACGAGAAGTTTAAATCAATTTGTATGTTCTTTGTTTGCAATTGTTTCTGTTTATCTAACTGACTAAGTTATGTAGTATCTAACAAATTTAACGGAAGGTCTAGGGTTCGATTTACTGTTTTAAGACGGTGATTCTACACTTTTTTTAAAGAGTCTTATACGAGGACGAAACAGCTATCAAGTGTTCTTAAGTTTTTTTTAATGATAGTTTAGCTAAGATGAATCCATAAAAGTACTACAATTTTTACAAATCTGTCTACAGTGGTAAAACTAGAATTTATCAATTCATTGAAGGTTCCTTCAAATTATACTTACACAACAATAAGCCTAATTTGCACAACTTGGAATGAAAAACGGCTTTTATCTTTACCAACGGCAATTTGTCACTATTTCGAACATGGAAAAATAACTCGTGAAACAGTACAAAGTGAATGAATATTGATTTTAAGAATACAAGAGGGTAGAACTTTCGTAATCCTAAAGCTTCATAGAGCCTAACTACTAGCTATAAACAACTTCTGTACAAATGTGTTTCAAGTTAATTTCATAAAAAAAAACTCGTGGATTGATTGAGGTTAGATAGTAACAGCGTTGAATGCCAACCGACTCAATGGTCTAAAAGTTAAGCGTTCATGCTCTAGTCCGAAGACTTTGAGTTTGAATCTCGAGATCTGGATCATCGACGTACACTGCTGCGGAGTCCTACAATAGAACAAAACGACCGTACAGTCCTTCCAAGTTCTCACTGACACATTTAGAATGAATGGATAAACAGTAATGCAACTTAACAACTATCTGATTTCATCGAACGGTGAATGTTTAGATATGACGACTGAAACAAATACTATTTGGTATATACGGTTTGATGAAAACCACTATGTGATTGTTTTCGTTAAGAGTTGGACTTTTTAGCACAAATCATTGTCCACTAATGATTGAACACTATCAGTCAGATTCACAGTCTATTTGTCCTTCATCATGATTCATCTTTATACACTCAACTAACATAAGTATTAACTCGTATCTACCACTGAACCTCACAGTTACATGTATAACTGTCATCAAACAAATTCATTATCCTATACCAGTTTTATGTGAAGATTGCCCAAACAACTTGATAATAGAATTGATTAACATTTCTAGTTTACATTAAAACGTTTTCAAACTGTTTGAAAAATTTGCCTTAACCACACTTTATCACAATTATATGAAGCACTAGACGGCCGTTTCGTCTTATTGTTGGACTCCTCAGCAGTGCTTAGCCACGAACCTAGGACCTTCGGTCTCGCGTACGAACTATTAAGCTGTAGACTACAGAATCAGCATCCATCGATGTTACTGTCTAACTTCAACCAGTTCACGGAATTGAGCAAAAATGTTCTATTGTACTGAGGTAGATACTTGTCTCTACCTGACACGGGTTAGCTCCACTGGTCACGGCCTCACACAAGAGCTATGAGAATTCCCTCATGAAGCTAGTCACTATTGAGTACGTGGTAATTATAAGTATGGGATCGTGGAGATTATTAAGCTTTTGATTTATATATATATATATATATATATATATATATATATATATATTGCTATCCAATATTGTGAGAGATTTATGGTATCTTAGTGTGGTCCTTCATTTTGACATTAATTACATCAGACGATGATGTTATCGACGAACGCATGACATTTAGTGGCCGTTGTATCTGACTCTAATTCGATTGTATGAATGATTGTTATCGAAACATACACTCTACCAATCCTCGTATAGAACTATCGACTTCAATCGCGTTAGTGAATAATGGAACTCGATAAGTCAAATAGGAGAATGGATTTTTGAATAGGTATATTTCATACAATCGTGGATCCGAACAGAGAATCAGAGAAATGAAATAATGGAAGAGAAGAAAAAAGAACGAAACGAAATAACGCTCAGTAGAGAAGATATGCAGGCCAACTCAATGTAACTAAGCGTTACCTAGTATTTACATTCGAACATTTGATGATATGTCCTGAATTAGGGTGCTCACTGCTGAGAAGTTCCACAATAGAATGGAATGGCCATCCAGTGCTTTCAGGTTTTCCACGGTAGTCTAGTTTAAATCGACTCATGATCTCAACCATTAAAATTATTACTACAATATCCACAAAACCAATATCCGATTAATATCATCATATGTTCACTACTGACTGGACTCAAAAAGTATTTCCTAGAGTTATAGTGAGAAGCAATGACCAGTGGAGTTTAATCAGGTTTGTTGTGAGATAGTAACTCATTGAAGACAATGATGGATATATCACTCAATTTCGTGGATGAGTTGAAGTTAGTCATTAACACCGTTGGATGCCAACCAATTCAACGTTACTCAGCGAGATCAATATATCCTGGATTTGAATTTCACGAGATGAGATTGTGGATATACATTGTTCAGGAGTCCCACAATAAGACGAAACGTCTGTCCAGCGCTTTCAGGTTTTTCATGTTCATCTAGCTTCAGTTGACTCATGATTAAGAAATGCACATACATATATACTTTAACATAAAAACAGTCAATTTGAATAAGTAAATAATCCCACTCGTTGAAATCATGAATGAATTACAGCTAGACCACCATGGGAAACTTGGAAGCACTGGACGGTTGTTTTCTTCCTAGTATGGGACTCCTCAGCAGTGCGCATCCACGATCCCACTCACGAGTTCCGAACCCAGGGCCTTCAGTTTCGCACCAGGCGCCTAATCAAGTAGACCACTGAGCCGGCACTCAGTGGTGTTAATGTCTAACTTCAACCAATCCATGAAGTTGCTCCACCGTACACCATTGTCTTCAGTGAGTTCCTATCTGACAACTCATTCTAATAAAGTAAATCATTAACAACATCTAAATGGGACTACTGAAGAAGAATGAATGAATGAATGAATGAATGAATGAATACATTGTATTGTCCAATAATTAGAATAATCGATAGAGACTTGAATAGAGCACTTAACACTATTGTAAACTGTAATGATAATTTATTGATTAAATAACAAAATTGTTCAGTAATTTGAATGAAAAGAAATAAACAAACTTTGATAAATGAACTATACTGAGATGTACTCAACATATAATATAACACAACATCCTAGTCCACTCCCCCTTTTTTTCTCACCCCTTCTCCTACACACACATACACACATTGACATAGATCCTATAATATTGATTAATTCTAATCAATATAGATATATATAGGCAAAATCATGAAACCAAATCATTCAGGATATAAAGAAGAGGAAGAAGAAGAAGTAGAAGAAGAAGAAGAAGAAGAAGAAGAAGAAGAAATAGAAGAAGTAGAAGAAGAAGAAGAAATAGAAGAAGTAGAAGAAGAAGAAGAAATAGAAGTAGAAGAAGAAGAAGAAGAAGAAGAAGAAGAAGAAGAAGAAAGGAACTAATCAATCATTCGTTGAATAAACAAACTTCATCCATTCTATGATCTTTGATATTGAATAGAATTCATTGAATATTAGTGATTATATATTTTATTATGTAATGGATATAACTAATTCATGTATTACAATTAGTCCATATCAAAGTACATCTCATTCAGTATGTTTAAATAATGTTCAATTATCTACAAAACGTAAATATCCATCTATCAAGAATACATCAATTATTCGTCATAAAAATAAACAATATTTAAGTCCAAAATTAACTAAATCCAATTCTATTCTACGATCATTTCAACATCATCATCATCATCGTCAAGATCAAGATCAAGATCATGATCATTATGATTCATATGATCAATATGTGCCGAATGCTCCAAGACCATCATTAAAATTGAATGAAGATAATATACTTTTTGTAAAGAAACAGAATTTATCTAAAATACAACGTCATTTACATGAAGAATCAATTCATCATCAATCACCATCCTCATCATCATCATCATCATCATCATCATCATCGTCATCCTCATCATGCTCATCATCATCATCATCAGTTCATGATAATAATCCATATCAAATGAATCATGAACAAATTATACCAAAAGAAATTCATATCACAACATCAACACCATTTATTAAATCATCTAAAGGATCATATTCTCATAAAGGATCCATCATCAATTCAGCATTAATTGGTGCACCTAGATTAGCTCTTAATGTTTCATTACAAAATAATAATAATACTACTACTACTAATAATAATAATAGTAATATAGAAGATTTAGATTTACCAAATATATCAAATACAAGTCTCTCCTATGATCAAAGAAATAGTAACCATAGTGATAATGATGATGATCATGATCCTGATGATAATCATGAAAACGATCAAAATCAATTATCCAATCTAATCAATAATCAATATTTAATCAATAATAAAGCTTGTCATACATCTAATGTTATATCAGATCATATAAATGATCCAAATTTCATGACATTTCGTTGTCGAATTTGTTTAGATGAAAGTCAAAATAATAATAATCATGAAGAAGAAGGATTATTGTCACCATGTCGTTGTAAAGGTACCATTGGTTTAGTTCATAAAAAATGTCTACAAAAATGGTTATTAACCTCGGGTAAACTACAATGTGAATTATGTGGTTATGTGTATTTAATGAAACCATCGAAAAAGTATTCATCGTTTCATTCTATTAGATGGAATCAATTTAGACAATATAATGATGAATTAAGACAGTTTTGTCATTGGTTACAATGGCATAGAATAAGAAAACATTTAATTGTTGATATTATATGTATGATATTACTGATACCAACTACTTATATTGGTGTTTATTTTTGTGCGATTAGCGCTTTCAGTTATGCTGAATTCAATCCATTCACATGGCAAGTGATTAGTTTATGGGGATTAGCTGTACTTTTAATTTTACTTCTTACAATATGGATTATATTAGCTATTAAACATCATTTAAATCATTATCGTCATTATCAACATGAACAACAACAACAACAACAACAACTCACATTGACAGAAACCAATCATCCATTGAATCGATTACCTAGATATCGATTTTCAATACAACCTAGACCACGTGGATCCTCTGTAGTATTATATACTACGATGATTCATAAAGATCAAGAATTATCGACGAGATCGAACAAACATGAAACAGAAATATCAATGAATTCCAATGTAGAAAATATAGAAATGAATTCATCATTTAATCAACAGGATGAATTACCAAGTTCAAATAAGTATTCATTGAATGGGAATCAAAAGATTGTTGTTTCAGTGGAATTAACTACTGTACCTGAAGTCATGGAAGAATTATCTACATCCAATAATAAAGTATCTATTTAAGAAGATGGAAACAAACAAAAAATCATGTTTCATTGTTCAATAATATCGATTTGTTTGTTTGTTTGTTTTTTTCATTTTCAAATATAAACATTGTCAGTAATGATACCTACAGCTGGAATGTTTTCCTTCTTGAATATCTTTGGAGAAAGCGAGATTCTAAGGTAAACAGACAGTCGATAAACTTATTAAGTTAAATTAGGATCGGTGATGATTAGCGATGGTGGAATTCAAGATACATATCAAATGGATATACATGTATTTTAGAGTTGATATTTATTACCGGACTCGAACTCAGTATCGTTTGTATTAAACGTCATTATATCATGTACTTAGTGAGTCGAAAAACTCGTTTGTGTAATGGGATGTATATATTGCCAAAATTAGATTCATCAATTGCAGTCTTAAAGATCAATGGGAAGATTCAAGCATTGCATGTACCTAAATTAATGGTTGCTCTGGTTGTTAGAAAAGGGTATAAGCCTCGTGATCTTCGAAGGAATTCGGCTTTCACCATGAAGCGCCATAACTTTTCCAAGTGAAGAACTTCTAACTAAATGGTTTGAATTATTTTTTTCTGGTTAGCATTTTTTTCAGTTAGTTTTCTACGGGATGAGGTCGCTGACCCCATGCCCAACCCTCCTCCTTTATCCGGGCTTGGGACGGGCAGTAGCCCATGAAGGGCTCCAGGTGGAGTTATACGTAAATATAGATTTTAATAACGTAACGGTATTTTGTTTTCGCATGTTTGAATCTTCCTACGGGTGTTATGGACTGCGATTGATCAGTTTCTTGATATATGTGCATTCCGTGTAGATTATCTCGATAATCCCATTCAGTAGGATCTAAAAAGTCGGAAAAATGAGAATCTCGCAAATGCGATGAAAATGATCGTGGTGGTATCTTTTCATAGTATTCCGAAAGCAGACAATGGGTTTCAAGTGTTTTTTAAGCCTTCAAGCTTCAGATTGGGCTATTTCGTTTACTACTCTACATATGTGTTATATGAAGTATATATATGAAGCTATATTGCTTTGTGGAGCTGGTCTCATATGAGACTGGAGGTTCGCCATTGATATTGTGGATAGTTCGACATTACTTTGGCAAGTTTTGCCAACTGTTCATGTACAAAATTGGTTTGCCGGTTAATCGATTTCATTCATACTGGTGGTTGCTGTTCAGTGTTCTCAAGGGCCATTGTCATTGGGACATTGTAAAGCATGTCACCATTGTTAACATTATTTAGTTTGACTGTCGTGTAAGAGGAATAGTTCAACTTTGGCTTATTAATGTTGTGCATAATTGATTTACGCGATCAGTTATGTGATGTAAATGTGTATATGAATAATGAGAATGGTGCACCAGGGTGCTTGGTACTTGTGTGTTTGCACCACAGTATTGAACTGTACTATTCAGACTGTAGCGTTAAAGCTTATATGATGTTTGGTTCTCCTGTGAATCAGGATTGAGTTATACTGCTCGAGTTATAAGGTTTAAGCCTGGATGGTGTCTGGTTCTCCTGTTAAACGAGATTGAGCTGTACTATTTGGATTGTCACATGAAAGTCTCCATCTAAAAAAACAACAGTTGAATAGTGGCTAGTGATGGAATCTATAAGCAATGGTATTAGAATATTCTAATTTATGTATCATCATAGATGTGAATAATCTTGAAAGGTATCTCGGTCACATGTTTCTATCGCACCTGATTGAATAGATAATGTTCTTTTCTTTTTTTCTTTATGGAAATTGATTTTAACATGACAACCGCTTCACTTATCTTGAAAGTCTCATCAGCCCTTGTGGTTTAGTGTGTGACGAAATCTCAGCACGGATACAAAAGGCTCGACTAGCTTTTGCAAACTTGCGTCATTTATAGCGTAGGCGAGATATTCGTCTATCAACCAAAGGACGTGTTTACTGCGCAGCAGTTCGTTCCGTCCTTCCTTATGGCAGTGAAACATGGCCGGTAAGAGTAGAGGATATCCGTAGGCTACTAGTATTTGATCATAGGTGTCTTCGAAACATTGCTCGTATATCATGGGACCATCGAATAAGTAACACAGTTGTTAGGAAACGGTTACTAGGTAAGGATGGCAAATCAATTGATGAAGTAGTGAAACTTGATCAGTTGAGATGACTGCGACACGTGTTACGTATGCCCAAAAACCGACTGCCACGACGTGCGATGCTCAATGGTAAAGGAGTAGGTTGGAAGAAAGTTAGGGGCGGCCAGACCAAAACATGACACAAATTTATGAAGTCATTGACAAGTGGACTGAGCCATGTTGGTAGGTGTAGACTACCTGGTTGGGGACCGCGAGATGATAGCAACCAATGGTTAGAGACCCTGAATGACATGGCTCAAAATCGCTTGCAATAGCGCAGGTGCATCCACTATTTGTGTTCTCCCGAATTCTAATCTCCTGAATCCTCCTTGTTTCCTTTTTTCTCTTTCCAAATTTATTTCACGGAATTATACTCTTTAAATAACATCTGAAAACCCTAATGTTTCCGATTACTGTTTATACTCTTACCGCCTCTACCACTATGAGATTTGAATCGACAACTACATCTCTGTGCTAATGTGGTGTAGCGACTCGAACTGATGTACGTACGTACGAAGCTCTATGTTGTTACTGACTGACTAACAACTACGGTATTTATAATAGAATTACTATCATGAATTCAATATGATTTGTATCTTTATTTCAATCCCACAACAATGAATCGATTAAATTAAGGGAAAAACTAACTCGGTCAGTAATAATTTTCAGTATTGATTTCGAAAAGATGATAGCTAAAAGGTAAGTGGAAAGGGACACCCCTTTCCACACTTGTTAAGAAGGGTGATGTTATTATGACCTAACATGATAGTAACAAATGAACACTAAACTATCAACATGGAATAGTACATACTTTGAATATGAACATCTGAATGTAATGTGTTACAAAAATTTATTATTAAATTGGAAAGTAACTCCTTTGAATGTTCTATTATGATTGATGATATTCATTCAGTGAATACACTGCTGAAATGATTTTATTGTCTTAAGTAGTTATCCCTTTAAGCTGATAAGTTATCATCAATGTGTTGGGTAGACAAATCCCGAATATGAAATGTTTATGTTACTTGCTTACTGACTGATGTATGGGTCAAGATGATAATGATTGGTTGGTTGCTTAATCAGAATTATAAATAGTCTGACAGGTACTAGATGATTGAGATCATGAATCAATTGATGTTAGACCACCGTTGGAAACTTGGAAGCACTGGGCGGCGGTTTCGTCCTAGTATGGGACTCCTCAGCAGTGCGCATCCACGATCCCGCTCCCTTACTAGATGAGTTATATATTCTCCTATCCTTATTATCATTATTGTTTGCTGATGGATTATGTCGGATTGTTGTTGATTTTATGGTGTGGAAATATATTTACGTTCTGGTAAGGATAATCACGTGTTCCTGATCTGAGTTGTGTTGAAATCCTGTAGAGTAGACACTTGGAGGGAATCTAGTGTAGATATTCGTTTAAGACAGATTAACGTCCAATTCATGTAGACGAGAAAACTCTAACTGTTTTAACAATTACGTCTAATACTTTACTTAATCTGTCAGAAAATATGAAGAGTAGTACATACTTTCAAGGATCGAAATTAGGTTAAGCAACAACAACATGTATGTATGTGAAAAATTAGATATTTGAAACATGATATAATGACAGCTAGACGCTACGCTTTCTCATACATAACTTAGATAACATGACGACGGTAATAAGAATCGTCAGTCAATCAGCTATAACATAGGACTAGGAACATTTTGCATCGGTTCAAGTTGCTATGCCTCATTAGCAAAACAACATGAACACCGGATTCATAGAAGTATTTAATTCAATGATGGTAATATGTATAGGAAAGATTATGTATGAGGATAAAGTAAAGAAAGAAGGAAGATCGAATGCTATCGACCATGTTGCAATGTGGCCACCAGCGTAGGGGACTCGACACTGCATGCACTATTGTGAGATTAGATAGTGGTTGAAGGTAGTCGACAGGAAACCGTGGGCTGGTGGCCATATTGCATCATGGTCGATAGCGTTCGATCTGCACTAATAAGGACTAGACATGCAATCAATGTTGATATACTAGCTATGTTTAATGTTGACAACAGTTTATTAGTTACCAATACATGAACTAAGAGAATACAAGTACAGAAATTGATGTATTTGAAAAACAATTCGGCAACTATACGAAACTCCCAAAACTTATTATATGGGTTGACAGAATGCAATTATAATAATAAATACAATAAGTGTTATAAGTATGTAGTGTGACGTCGAGTCGCGGCTGACTATGATCACCACTGCAGGAAAACTACGTGCCAGTTAACCAATAACATCCCCGTAAACCAAATATCAGAAGGCAGTTGATGGTTGTAGTCGAGATGTATTTGTTGGCGATTTCGTGTTATCGAAAGAATACCGAGATTGTGCCAAAGGAATACAAGTGTGCTTACTGAGCGTAACCGAATTCGTGCAAGGTCACAATCAACGGAAGGAAGAATGTCTTTAGTACAGTTAAACAATCAATTACAGTAAAACAATTACTGGTACAATTGGTTATAATGATAATTGTTTCCATCAAACCAAACGCGTTCTTTTGGTAAAAGTAGACCACTACAAATATATGTAATTATTCCACAATACACACATGTATAGATGGTTATGAATAGAAATGCCTACTTATTGTTAATAAGTAGTATAAAAGCAAGTACAAAAAGTTAGTTGATTTGAAGTGAATAACATGTGAACAAAACACCATACAATAGTCACTATAATCATTAGTCGTTCATCTCATTTGTTTGATCTGTTTTTATCTACCATAAGATTGTTAAGCATAGAAATGCCTACTAATTATTAGTAAGTAGTAGTATAAAAGCAAGTTGATTTGAACAGGATAAACATCATTTCATTGGATCCATATAACCAAAAAGCAAATCATGATTAATCAAATCAGTCTATTCTTTGTATACAATAAAACAATTGACGGATATATGATACGATGTATTTGTTTGATTCACACAGAATGATCGATCATAATTCATATCCCATAATACACGATTAGTGAATCCAGCCATTTGTTTACAATTTTGCATGACTAAACAAAATACTAAATAACGATATCTGAAAAGAAATTTTAAAGAAAAAAGAGGGATCTGTAAGGTAACAGAAGGGGTCCTTGTGGATATTATAGTGTATTATAGATTGATAAGTTCGGGGTTCGAATCTCATGAGGTGGGATCGTCGATGCGCATTGTTGAGGAGTCGTACAATAGGACGAAATGGTCGTTCAGTACTTTCAGGTTTTCCATGGTAATATAGCTTTAATTGGAATATGATGTCAACTATTAAAATATCTACAAAAATCGCTTCTGATATTAATCAACTTATGCTCACTAGTGACTGGATTCGAAAGGTATTTCATGGAATTCTAGTGAGAAGCAGTGATCAGTGGAGTTCAACCGAGTCTGTTGTGAGATAATGACTCATCGAAGACAGTGGTGAGTGTTTCGCTCAATTCCGTGGATTAGTTGAAGTTTGCGATTAATATTTTTGGATGATAACCGATTTAGTGGTCTAGAGATTAGGCGTTCGCGCTAGAGACTGATAGGTCCTGGGTTCGAATCTCATGAGGTAGGATCGTGGATGTGCACTGTTGGGGAGTTCCACAATAGGACGACACAGTCGTCCACTGCTTCCAGGTTTTCCATGGTGGTCTAGCTTCAATCGACTCATGATCTCATCTATTGAAAGACAATTAATCATTTTACAATTGTTCATGCGAAAACGATCCATGCATGAACTTGAGGATACTCTAAGAAGCTTAGAAGGAGCTGAAGATATTCCATCCAGTCATTTTTTTAAAGAATGTTCCAGGATCTGTACGTGTAGCTTCCCTATTAGATAAATGCTAAGAACAATTGTATGTGAATTCGATTACTATAATGATGATTTCGCTTTTACTATAAACTATAGTATTCGTTTTCATTCATATACTGTCTTTTCATTTGCAACTTGGAGGTTTCTAGCAAACGAGTACTCAAGTTGTATGCAGTATATCAAGAATCTAAGCTCTAGATATAACAACTGACAACGGAGATGGGATTCGAACCCATGAGGGGGAAACTATAATGGTTAAGCAAGTGACCATCCTACATGAAATATCATTCTATAGCTATCAGTTTTGTAACCAGTAGTCAGTTCGATCAATTCGTTCTGTTCTTTGAGACTATTTTTATGTTTAGCTCACCCGTGAACACATTGAATTAATGAGTCGATTAAAGCTGGACCAACATGGAAAATCTGAAAGCACTGAACGGTCGTTTCGTCTTAGTATGTGTCTCTTCAGTAGTATGCATCCACGATCCCACATGCGAGACTCGAACCTTCGGTCTATGTGGGCGAACACTAAACCACTAGGTCACTGAGCTTACACTCAATGTAATCTCTAACTTCATTCAATCCACGATATTGCAATACCATCCACCATGGTCATCAGTGAATCACTGCCTCACACAGACCGAGTTGAACTCCACTGATCACGGCTTCTCCCTACAACTCCAGGAAATACCTCATGAAGCCAATCACTAATGAGCAGATGATGATTACTATCAGAATGAGGTTTTTGTGGATATTATAGTAATTTTTAATAGCTAGTTTACCAATTCTACAATTGAAAATGTATGCTATATGTTCTAGCTAAAGAAGAGACAACTTTCAAAAACCGAGAAGACTACCTTAAGAAGTTATTCATTCTATGATCTCGATGGAGTTTCGTTCTCTGAGCTGGATGGTTGAATCGTGGAGCTTTCATCGCTCATCATCAGCACAAACTTCAAGTAAAACTGAAGTGTTCAAATTTGTAGATTTATGATTCATAACTTATCCTATAGATCTCGTTGTAAATTTGTTGTTTTCAACCTTAAACTTCTTATTGTTTACTTCTTTGTTTCGGCTGTATCTTCCAATGTTTTCACCAAACCATCCAGATCAGAGAACAAAACTCCATCTTAAATCATCCATCTGAGCTACAAATCTTCTCTACTATCTCAAGATTCTAAGATCAAATCAGAACAATGTAGTCACTGTCCCCGCATAACATATACCACTAACTACACATGGTATCGTTTGGTTTGTATCTTCCCATTGAGGTTTAGTACTGCAATTAATCAGTCTGTTATTGGCATATGTGCATACTGTGCGTATGCCTCGATATTACCTTAATTCACAAGCTATTTGTAAGCAATGATGGATAGTGGTTAGCAGTGGAATCCAGGACGCGCGTTTCGTCCTATTTGGGACTCGTCAGCTGGATGTAAAACTACAACTACACAGTTGTAGAAGAATAACCAAGGCTCCACTTTACAGTAGATAGATGAAATATCTGTCATGGTTTCATGTAATATCTACCAAGAACGATTCCAACAGGTAAAGGCATCTATTGATGATATTCAATTTTCCGATCATGATATCATTGATATATTATTCAAAAGTAATTAAGATAAATGAAGACAATCATATCATCATTAATAAAGTAAAGATTATCATCAAACTGACCGTTCTTCTCCATGTGCTTTGAGCATTGCTTTAATTTCATTTGCTAATGAAATACATAATCGATTAGCTTTAAAACGTTCATAAGTTGATGGAAGTGATTCAATACGTGATTGAACTAGTTGTTCTATTCGAGGTTTTACATTACTAACATTGAATATTTCTTTTGGGCCTAATTGAAATGTTGGTAGATAATTGATTAAGTTGTATGATGCTGGACTGTAAGAGGCTAAAGAAATCGATATCAAATAAGAATCAGTCAGTCAGTCAGTCAACTACAACATAGAATCAGGCATATATGTACATCGGTTCAAGTTGCCATACCTCATTAGCACAAGAACATGAACACTAGATTCATAGAAGTCGTTAATTCAATGATGGCAATATATTAAAGAAAAATTGCATATAAGGATATAGTACAGAAAGAAAGAATTAGTTAATAGAAAGAAAGATATTAAGCGATTTTAATCTCATAGTTTAAGGGAAGACAAAGAGTGTATACACCGACGCCATTGTGATCGATTCTGCGTCATGTCACTCCGAGTCTCCAACCATTAGTTACGATAGTCACGCGGACATCAACCAATTATTCTGCATTTATCACCATGGCTCAGACTAGAAGTTAGTTACTTCAAGGATTGATGCTACATTTAGACTTGAATATAAAACCTTTCATTTGAAATAAAAACGTTTCATCTACTGAGTTCAGATAGTTACTAGCTCGTTTAATGCATATGAATTTTATTCATGTTCCGCTTATATTGGTCATTCTGTGATCGATAAGCAGTTTTCATTAACGGTGTCAAACTGCTAGGTGTGAAACTATCACGAGTTCACTTAATCTGCAAACAACAACAATATTCGGTGACCAAAGACCAGTAAGCTAGCTATTGATGCGTCGCAGCCTCGCTAACTAGAGGGAGACTTTCAAGCTTGGAATGGGGAGTATATTCTGCAAAACAGCCAGAACCGAGCGATCCCAACAAACACAACTCAAAACGTATATATATACCGTGTAAAACCGTCCTTGGGGAGAGTTACCAAATAGCATAATAAAAGACGCAACGGACCAATAACATTTAAAATATTTCCCAGTGGGAAATACGACATGAAGGTGACAAGAGCGCCTTTGCCGCGAAAACAAAGAGATTCAAATTTTCAAAATAAATTACAAAATTAGCTCCTTTCCCAAGTGAGTTTTGGGAATCTAACGTCCCCAACACAAACATCACTAACCCATGAATGTGTATTATTCTTTAGTGATCAATCAAATATTTCATAGTAACATACTCAGTAACTAATCGATCACTGTTAACATTTATAACTAAGAATATGATAGAGATATTTATCGACAGTAGGTAGCAATCTAGTTGACTTTACATTTATAACTCACCATTAGAATGAAACAAAGATGATCGTTGATCGGTAGACAGATCTAATAGCCTGTGTGAAAGGAAGGAGTACTGACATCCAAATATGTTTAGGGAAATGAATTCGACACTGACCGTAAACAATTGTCGTATAGTGTATACTGATTGTTTAGGATAAGAAGATATAGTCATCATTTAACATAATTATACATTAGGTTATCTATTTTAGAGTTGACAATGTTGGTCAATTCTATTATAAATGCAGATTGAAATAACTTACATAGTCTACTGAATGTACTCAGACGTCTTTGATGTTTCTCATCAGTCAATGTTGATAGAAATTTTCGCGTGATCCGTTTAGCAGCCAGAATACCTAATAGTGACAATGGTGGTCGACTAGTATTTGTCAAAGATGTCAGAGAGGATGCTGCTGATGATGATGATTGAATGTTTTGACTGATCTTCCTACTAGTGATAACACTTGTTGGATGATCAACTTCTCGAAAAGTCAATATTTTATTTGTTTCGACTGCTGATGTTGGACCATTGATAGAAGTGTTGAAACAGGATAATGGTGAACGATTGGGACAACTGGCTGGAGTTTGTGGTTGAGATTGTGCAGTGACTGTGTGAATAAGAAGAAAGTGAATTCATTCGACATTTGACAATATAGAACAGTCTCAATGTACTACTACTACTACTACTACTACTACTACTACTACTACTACTACTACTACTACTACTACTACTACTACTACTACTACTACTACTACTACTACTACTACTACTACTACTACTACTACTACTACTACTACTACTACTACTACTACTACTGATTTCGATATGAATAGTGTGAATGAATCGTCTAAATGTGAACAGAATTGGTTCAGTTTGATTTGGTGAGGAATATATTTCGTTTAATGAAACGAATTTTTTGACCGAATGGATGTCTGATCACAACCACATTCATTCCTTTCATTTGATTCTATTCGTTTGCAATTTGACTTGTATGAATCACTGTCATGCGAATATACGATTCATATCAGTCCCACAAATCGTTGACAAATTTACACCAACATGTGACTTACTTCCATTACGATATGTAATTCTGTCATTTATCAATATTCGATCAACATACAATCTCAGTTCGATATGGTGAAATGTTTAGAAGTGAATTATAGACAAACATTGAAGATTCTTCTTCTGTAGCTGAGCAACACTTGGAAGCTTCAAATGGTCATTCAACTACATCAAATCTCGGTTGTTCTCTCTCTCTCACACACACACACACAATTCACACTAGATTCAACACAGTTTAATTCAGAACCATCCATGAATGGATGAATCTGCACACAATTACATCATCGTTGAATTTCATGTTCCACATATTGTTACAATTACTGTAACCAATTTTGTTGAAACTACCCTCGAATCAAATGATTCATTATGTTGTATATGGTTGTTGTATGAAGTCACTTCCATCAAGTTGATTAATACAGAGCTCCATCTAAAATTGTGATCAATAATACATGATAGATTGTGAGAAGATCAATCGAAGGCGATAAGATGAAAGGGATGTATGTTGTTCTGTTCAGATAGTTCCAACCTACTTGATTATCACTTAATATGACGTATGTATTGTATCATGCACAGTTTTTGACAAATCACTTTATTCTCTCTCTCTCATATCGACATGTAGTTGTAATGATGCATCGATTTACACACAGTGACATGTACACATTTTTGAACGTATAGCTTACCAGTGATGTTTCTTCATGAGAATGATGGAAGTGAATATTGTGACAGAGGGAATATCAACGTGGCGAAAATGATATCACATCTTCTCGTTTGTGATGATATGGGAAGTAGTCGGATAACTTTTTGAATACTACGACATTGGTAATTATTCATGATTCGTCATTATAAACTCCTCTGTTTACTGATTATCATTGTATGTGTTATGGTTACGGTAAACCTTGTTCTATATCATGTGAATTGAATTATTATCAACATGGGGTTATGGAGATCGAATCTCGCAAGTGAGATCGTCGATACTCACTGTTGAAGAGTCCTACAATAGGATGAAAGGTTCTTCCAGCACTTCCAGGTTTTCAGTGATGGTTTGACATCAATCGGTTCATGATCTGAATCAAAAACTGAGTTATATTTGTTCGGATCATTTCTCAAGATCACCAATATATTATACATTACGATTCTATTAAACATGCATAAACATGTATATTATTTCAGTTCATATTGATAGATATAATCTAGTGTCTCCTTCAAATAATTCTGTTCTACATTTGATCAACTGAAACATGAATTTTTAGTTTTTACAATTACACATTGTCTTTATTGATTGATATCACGTCATCAATATAACCTTATATTATAATCCGAGTGCCATTTTGTGAATATTATAGTAATTTAATAGTTAAATTCATGAGTCAACTGAATCTAGATCACTCTAGAGGCTAAGCGCTGTCACACGAGACTGGATTCGAATCTCCTGACGTGGGATTGTGAATGTAGACTGTTGACAAGTCCCATACTGGGACAAAACGGTCATCCAATACTTTCAGGGTTAAGATGGTGGTTGGAGATAGTCAATAGGAAACCCTGAACCTAGTTTTTGTGTTACTTGTAATCTTGAGAGAACTAATACTCCCTGATCGATTCAATCCCGTGTCACCCAGCTTCACAGTCAGAGATGTTATCATTAGGCTATCTGGCCTGTGATCGACCTCCTGTATGACTGAGATGTAATCACAATTAATGGGTCACTGGGTGGTGATCAATGTTATGTGTATCAAGTCCTTCTTATTGCAAAATCGAATGCTATCAACCATCATCTTATCTCAACATAGTGCACGCAATGTCGAGTCACCTAGACTAGTGACCACATTGCAACTTAGTCGATAGCATTCGATCTACACTAAGAAGTACTTGACACACATGACATTGATCACTACGTAGTAATCAATCAATTGTGACTTTCAGGGCTAATCCGTGTCGAGTAGAGACAGGTATCTACCTTGGTACATTGGAAGTTGGTCGCGCAATTTCGTGGATTGGTTGATGTTAGACACTAACACCATTGGATGTCGGCTCAGTGGTCTAATGGTTAAGTGCTCAGGCGCGAAGCCAGTAGGTCCTGGGTTCGAATCCCGCGGGGTGCGGGATCGTGGATGCGCACTGCTGAGGAGTCCCACACTAGGACGAAACGGCCGTCCAGTGCTTCCAGGTATCCAACGGTGGTCTAACACCAATTGACTCATGATCTCAACCAAAAACTTAACAGTCTCCACAACCCCTATACTGATACTTTCCATAATAGTCTAACTTCAATTGATTGACGATTTCAACTGTTTAAATAATATAACAATATGATATAATAACTTACTTGAATGTTTTATCAATGATAATCTTTTAACACCTTTAGCTTTTGATAATATATCTAATCTAGAATTTCTTTCTTGATTTATTACATCATTTGTATTTGTATCTTTTATAGTGGATTCTTCATTGACTGTTTCTAATTCATTTGATTTTGAATTTAGTTTCGATGGTGATAGATTCATTTTGTAACTATCTTATACTAAAGAAACAAATAATGATGATAATAAATCAATATTTTTATGTCATTAGTTAAAGAGGTGAGGAGGATTTGTAAAGATTATAGAATGTTTATTGTTTAGATTACTAGTTTCAATTAACGATTAAAGTTTAATCATTAGATGGTGATTGTAGATAGTCGACATGAAACCCTTGGATCCGAGTTTTGTGCTATTTGGCACTCGTCAGCAAGGTGTACCTGTAATCTTGAAGCAACTTAGTCGATAGCATTTGATCTGTAATGAGAAGGACTTGATACACATAACATTGATCACCACCCAGTGTTCAGTTAATTGTGATTACATCTCAGTCATACAGGAAGTCGATCACAGCGCCGATAGTGGTAACGTCTCTGACTGCGAAGTTGGGTGATACGGGATTGAATCCATTGAGGAGCATTAGTTCCCTCAGAATTGCAGGTACACTTTGCTGACGGATGCGAAGTAGCACGAAACCCGGGTCCAGAGTTTCCAGTTGATTACCTCCAACCACCATCTAATCCCAATATAGTGCACGCAATGTCGAGTCACCTAGACTAGTGGCCTAATTGTAACTTGGCCAATAGCATTCGATCTACACTAAGAAGCACTTGACACATATGACATTGATCACCACCTAGTGATCAATCAATTGTGAAAGTTTGTGGTAATTATTGATTGATTGTAATGAATGATGAGTTATGTAATATTGGATCTTTACTAGTATAGGGGTTGTGGAGATTATTGGGTTTTTGATTGAGATCATGAACCGAATGATGTTAGACCACCACAAATTCGTGGATTGGTTGATGTTAGAAACTATCACCATTTGAAAGAAACGATCATCTAATCTTTATAGTTTTCCATTAGTTGTCGAGTTTAGATTAGTTTATGAATTGAACTATTTCAGTTAAATGTAAAGTACAACTCTTACTTAGTGATTGATTGTTGGAATTCCACAGCGAGTTTGAATTATTGATGAAGGTTAATAGTTCTCATCAGATGATATTGAAGGTGTTATTTACTCTTAAATGGATAGTATAATTATGAGACTTTCATTATCATAATATTATTAGGACAAACTTTAGTAAATCAGCCAGTCAGTCAGCTAGAACATAGGACTAGGTACATATATGCACCGGTCCAAGTTGATGTACCTCATTAGCACAGCAAGATGAACACCGGATTCATAGAAGTATTTAATTCAATGATGGTAAAATATAAAAGAAAGATTGTGTATAAGGATATAGTACAGGAAGAAAGAATTAGTACGTAGAAAGAAAGATATGAAGTGATTTTAATCTCATAGTTTAAGGGAAGACAGAGCGTGTATACATCGACTCCATTGTGACCGATTCTGTGCCATGTCACCAAGAGTCTCCAACCATTGGTTACGAGAGTCACACCGACCCAAACCAAGTAGTCTTCATCTACTAACATGGCTCAGACTAGAAGTTAGTGACTTCAAGCACTGATGCCACGTTTTGGTTTGGCTGTCCCTTACTTTCTTCCAACCATCCCTAACCCTAGTCAGCATTCCGCGTCGTGGTAATCGGAGTTCAGGCATACGTAGAACGTGGCCCAACCATCTTAGTCAATGAATATTCACAACCTCGTCAACTGACTTACCATCATTCCTTAATGCTCTACGTCTAACCTCACTATTACATACTTGGTGATCCCAGGAGATGCGAGCAATATTTCTAAGGCATCTGTGGTCAAATACTAGTAGCTTACGAGTGTCTTCTACTCTTAATGGCCATGTTTCGCTGCCGTAAATTAAAACAGAACGGACTGCCGCGCAGTATACTCGTCCTTTTATTGATAGACGGATATCTCGCCTTCGCCATAGGTGACGTAAGTTAACAAAAGCCAAACGAGCTTTTCGAATCTGTGCTGAGATTTCGTCCGATACCAACCCATTAGGGCTGATCAAACTTCCAAGATAAGTGAAGTTGTCAACGCGTTCGACTACTTCACTCCCTATCCTTAGTTCAGGTGTTGACACAGACCAGTCCTGAAGCAATAACTTGCACTTAGAGGGAGAGAATTGCATTCCAAACATTCTGGCATTGTTGCTCAGTGCTATCAAAAGACTGCATTTTATCAGCGTCTTCATCAAACAGCACTATATCATTTTCAGTAACACATGAACTATTAGAATTGCTTTATAACTGACTGACAACTTGTTTAGTTTATAATTACGTTGTTTGTACATTTATTTTAATTGTCCTATTCTGTTGATTAACATTATAGTTATTTATCTAATCTACTAAACGATTTGATCGATTTCCACATGTCTATTGATTGCTGAGTTACTTGAATCTCAGGATTCTAGAAAATTCTTGAATTTTCTTTAAGTTTTCTCACCCTACTGCTTCAATTCATTAGCCTTACTGCCGACATCCAAATCGCAGAGCACAACTCCTCCAAAATCAATTGAGACTCTCGTAAAAAGCACTATATTTTGCAACTTAGTAGATGGAGACAGTCGACTGATTGCTACTTGGCACTCATCAGGAAAGTGTACCAACAACCTTAGCGTAACCAATATCTCTGAGTGAATATGATACCGCGCTGTCAAACATCATAGCTCGAGATGCTACCACTGAGCTATCCGAACAGCTGTTAGTCAATTGTTCGACCAAGATGTATTAAAGCTGATTGATTACTGAATAATGATAAATGTCGTATCTGTCAATTACTTCTTAATGATGATCGAATTCTATCAATCGAATTGCATTGCGATCACGTACATTGTGCTGAGATTTTAGATGGTCGTTGGACGTAGTCAAAAGACTAGTGGCCAACTTTCAAGTTAATCGATAAGATTCGATCCTCTCTAAGAAATACGAGACAGACATGACGTTTATCACTATTCTAAGATCGACCAATTGTAAGATCCCTTATACTTTTTATCCTAACTAACTTAATATGAAAATAATGTTGAATCAATTGATTTCAACGATCAGAATAATTAGAATGTAAAAGATTCACATTATCTGATACTTGATTGAAATTCGTCCTAGTGCGGGACTCCCTAACAGTGCTCATCCATGATACCATACGTGGGACTCGGACTCAGGACCTCTAGTCTCACGAGAGAATGCTTAACAGTGTTAATGTCTAACCTCAACCAATCTATGATATCGCGCCATCGTCCACCATTGTTTTCAGTGAGTAACCGCCTCATAACAGACACGGTTGAACTTCATTGGTAACGTTTTCTTACTACAACTCCAGGAAATATCTCATGAATCCAATCACTAGTGAGTACATGATGAGGGGTTTTCGGATATTATAATAACTTTAATAGTTAAAATCATGAGTCCATCTAAGCTAGATATCCATTGAAAACCTGGAAGTAATGTACTGACGTTTGGTTCCTGTATGAGACTCCTGAACAGTGATCCATGATCCCGCACACAGTAGCTTAACCCAGAACTTTCGATTTTGCGCTCGAACACTTAACCTCTAGACCACTGAGTCGGCATCCGACAATGTTAATGCCTAACTTTAATCGATCCATGATGTTGCACAATCATTCATTCATTGTCTGAGATAGATACTTATCTCTACCTGACACAGACTGAACTCCATTGATCATGGCTTCTCACTGGAACTCTAGAAAATCTATTTTGACGCTAATCACCAGGTACTTAAGAGGGGGGGTTAGGTATAACGATGAAATCTAGAAAGAAACCTCATTGTACAGTTTACCATTTATCTAATAAATAGAGAATATACTACTTAATCAAATTGTAGTGCATCTTAAAACATAATGGCTTAAAAACAACAAAAAACTACTTACGTAATTAATCAATAAGGATAATTTGTTGAATAAACATTGATTACATGAATGATGTATGAATATTCAAAATATCATTTTTATAAGATTTTACATGTTGTAACCATGGCAACAATCTCTAATATGTCATGTAGTCAAGGTTACAGTTTAGTGTGGTTTTTTCAATGTGACATTGATTTGTATAAATGTATGTGTAAATTACAATGTGGAACAAAAAATCAAACACCAATGGGAGATACAACCAAAACAAAGAAGTAAACAATGACAAGTTTAAGGTCAACAAGAACCAATCAACATCAAGGTGTATAGGACAAGCTGTGAAACACATATGGAGAAATTCGAACACATCATTTCTATCTGAAGGTTGTGCTGATGATGATGATGTTACTCGGAAAAACGATGTAAGCTCCACGACCAAACCATCCAGCTCAGAGAACAAAAGTTCATCAAGATTTCAATGTGTTTACACTATGGGTTCATCTCATGAATTAGGCTATAATTCGTAAGAAATGTTTAGGATTTACAAGTGAATTCTTCATTGTGATATGTGAAATTAAAACAAACCCCCTTATACCATGAATTGATACGATGACTGATGGTTTTGTTTCTTTGGTGACCAATTTATTATTCGACTGTTATTATTTATTTATTTATTTATTTAAACACATAAATCTTGGTACTAGGAGCCACCAAATAGATATGCGTTACGTAAATTATTCGATTCGTGTGTAGGTTGGGATACTACCCAGGTGCCCAAACCAAGACAGGTGGTTTTCTTAGGGGGCCGAACTAAAGGTCTGATTCACAAAGCAGTGTAGTAACGTAAAAAAATGCAGTTCCACGATAGCCGGTGATCAATAATAGAGTCATACGTCATTTGTTCCATCAGGATACTGGAACCCATGTGCACCATTAGTTTGGAACCAGAGTTTTCCAACTCCCATAAGTGAACCCTCCGTGTCCACGAACCCGGTCAAAGCGCATGATATTCGCTTTTCATCCTCTCAATTTCGCAAATAACACCCACACCGCGGGAAAGTAGTGAGTAGGACTTTTCTGGTAGAGGCTGTATACGCGTGTCCATGTGACAGTATTTGGAAAGGGAGAGCTGAATCTCTTCACTCTCAACCGTACCAAGGTATTTGGGGGCGAATTTGTTTCTACAATATATTTTTATTAGCATCAGAAGACAATGGTGGATATGTCCCTCAGTTTTGGTGGATCATTTGAAGTTAGGCATTAACCCCGTTGGATGCTGGACGACTCACATGCGAAACTGATAGATCCTGTGTTCGAATCTCGCGAGACGAAATCGTGCATACGTACTGCTGAGGAGTTCCATAATAAGACGAAACAACCGTCCAGTACTTCCAGGTCTTCTATGTTGGTCTAGCTTCAATCGATTCATGATCTCAACTATTGAAAAATTTCAATTAGACAAATTTAATATCATAATTGACGTGAATAAATTTCACTTAGAAATATAAATGAAGTTAATAGTCACACAGTTTAAATTAGTTATCAACCTGATAAATTTAAACTATCGACCTTTCTATAATTTAGAATATTTACATCAAACTTGTCCATCGGATTTTTAAGTTAACTGAAATACATAATTCACTTGATATTAATTGGCGTGTATCTTCCCATTAAGGTTTAAGCCTGCGATTGACCAGTCTGTTATTGATATGTGTGCATACTACGCGTATGCCTCGATATCGCCTTAATTCACAAGTTTTTTGTAAACAATGATGGATAGTGGCTAGCAGTGGAATCCAGGACGCGCGTTTCGTCCTATTTGGGACACGTCAGCTGAAATGCAGGTACATCCAACTGATGAGTCCCAAATAGGACGAAACGCGCGTCCTGGATTCCACTGCTAGCCACTACACATTATTGCTTACAAAAAATGAAATGCATTATCATAGAAATCATCGACAGTTTACTGAAATACAAATCGTTTGATCAGTTATTAATTGTACAGTTTATGAGTAATTAGGAATGAATTTCGTGTTTAAAATCAGTAGATTTTAGTAATCAGTAACCGTTCATTTCGAACGCCATTGTGTTACAGTAGATGAGTGAATAACGCGTTAGTGTTTGAAGCGAACGGTACTGGGTTCGAGTCTTGGAGTGAACATCAACTCTGAGATGCAGGTACATCCAACTGATGAGTCCTAAATGGGACGAAACGCGATCCTCAGATTCCACTGCTCACCACAATCTATCTTTACTTATAATGTTTGTAACTTAAGGCTATATTGAGGTAGTCTGCACAAGATGCACATATCCCAATAAGAGACTGATTAATCCCAGTCCTAAACAACAATGAGAAGATACAAAGAAACACTACCAAGTGAATTAAGTTTGAGAAGAGTTTGAGAAACAAAACGTAATAATTTGTAATCTCAACATGCAATAAATAACTCATCTCTCATTGTAGATGTTCATTCTAAGTAGAGTATAATCAAATCGTAAGCATTTTCAAGAAACTTTGGATAATATCTCACAGTAGAATTCAGATTGCATCTATCAACTTATATGTAACTAATCAGCTGAATATGCTTTGAAGTTCATATAGGGACTCGTGCTCAGTGCTATTCTTCTTGTATGCACAAAGTATTATTAAGAGTTGTGCTAAGTTCCAAACAGTTACATTTTGTACCACTGATTGTTTTACTGTGCTCGTTTGTTTAACTGTGCTAAAGACAGCCATATTACTACTCCATTATCCTTCGATTGATTTCGACCTTGCACGAATTCGGTGACACTCAGTAACCACACTTGTACTCCTTTGGCACGATCTCAGTATTCTTTCGATACCACGAGATCACCAACAAATACATCTCGACTACAGCCATCAACTGCCTTCTGATATTTGACTTACGGGGGGTGTTGTCGGTTAACTGGCACGTAGTCTACTTGTCGTGGTGTTCATAGTCAACCGCGACTCGACACCACCCTACAACATCATTATTTGATCGAATTAAAGTCAGATCAATGAATCATTTACTATTTACTTTTACAAAGGGAATGAGTTTTCTTTCATCTGTGTTTAAATCTTTTCCCTTAAGGCCCAAAAAGAATGAAGAGGACGATCATAGAACACATGACGCCAAGAAATCGAGACAGACATTAGAAGAATGAAGAACACTTGGATAGAACTAGAAAGAAAAGGCTTAGGACAGAGTGAGTTGGAGAATGGTGGTCGGCGGCCTATGCTTCATTTTGGGGTAACATGCGTAAGCAAATAAGAAGGTAAGTCAAATCTTCTTATTTTTTAATGCTAAAGACAAGTCAAAAGCTATATGTACTCATTACTTACGTAGATAACAAGTTAAACATTTAAGACGAAACACAATAGATTCGAGTCCTTGAATGAAAATCAACAAGTATCTAAGTAAATCTAAACCGATAAATTTCATAAAGAATAAGAAACACGATCTGGATCATGTAATTATTGTTTAGGCGAAACTATAATTCATGGTCGATCTTGAACGAATCGCGGATGACTTTGAAGAAGATTAACCTATCAGAAAACAGTCAGTATAAAGTAAAAATATATGATACAAAATCAAAGAATTAAAGTGGATACATTTCTTGTACGTGGTTCAAAAACTTGTCAAAGTTAGAAAGCGGTTCATAGGTTCTAAAATCATAGTATATACAATAGAGGATATCATCCATGTGGCTCCATCATAGTTGGCCTCTAGAACCATGATAAGGTCGCAAAAACTATTTCAGACTCGACCATATAGCTTCAATATTGTTAGTGTGTACTCCGGTTGTTTGATCCACAAAATGCCACTTATGGATAACAACAAGATTCATATCAACAAGTCCATGCAACCACACTCTCCAATCATCCTTATATATTGTAGTACCTGTCTACAATCAGTGTTACTGGTACTTTTATTATCCGGTTCGCAATTTGACTTAGTCTCAATCTGGATCGAGCAAATAAACTCTATTCTATCAGACTTCTTCCTTCAAAACATATTACATCGAAAGACATCATCACATTAGTTTATACAAGGTCCACAAGTCATTTAATTACCACAATCACAAATAAAGGAACTTCTTAATAATCCAATTGGTTGTTGTCGCTGAATAATCACATTTTATTTCTTCTAAAATCCACTATGGACCGAGTGTACATGAATATTAAGTCTTGAAGTTTGCGCCATGACCTTGAAATCCTTCAAAAACCCTTCTGATTGGCTTATTCATAAATTTCTAATCTCAACTTGATCTTAAATCATTTTTGAAAATACCTATTCTAGAAAATATTCCAATATGGTTTATGTTAGTGAGTGTTTTCCTTTGAAAAAAAAGAAACTAACCGAAGAAGAAAACTGTCTAGTTTATCATACTTTATTGTTATAAATTACAATGTAGAATCTTTTTTTTCCATTCCAATTACCCATACAAACATACAATCTGTGTCACTCTCAACTAGCAATCAACCAGTCATTGGAAAATGTGGTGAATTTTTTTTTGTTTTTCGATTCTCTATAACGAATATCTTATCATTATTAGCATGATTTATGTAGGTATTTAGTTCCGTCGTACTTTAATTGTTTTTTCAAATGTATCGAATCTTAATGAGACAAATCACTTATCATATGATTTGTAATTATACACGGCACACTGCACAATTTCATCGATTTACATTACGCACAAAAAAACATCATCATCATTATCATTATAAGATTCATTTGTATGATTATAATTGTGATTGTGCTAGCGAATTCACTATTTGAGATAGTTTTGTTTAAATTGGATCATACTTTTGTTTTCCTTTCTTTAGCAAACAAATTAAATAGGACTAATCTGATGTTTCCCCTTGTTGTCATTTTGTTTGTTCTTTTCGAAGGGGTAAATGGAGGTGGAAGTAAGTTATTCTATATCATGTAACTGTTCATGATTATTAATACATATGAAATCATAATTGAAATATATTTTAACAATGTGAATTGAATGGAATGTGTGTGTAAGCAATTGATACACTGGAAGAGTAGTTGTTGTTTATTACATGTAATTTCAATAGTTGAGATCATGAGTCGATTGAAACTAGACTACCATGGAAAACCTGGAAGCACTGGACGGCTTTTTGTTCTAGTATGAGACTCCTTAACAGTGCGCATCCAAAATCCGGTCTCATGAGATTCAAACACATGACCTATCGGTCTCGCGTGTGAACGCTTAACCTCTTGATCATTGAGCTGGACGGTATCCAATGGTTTTACTGTCTAACTTCAACTAATTCAAGAAGTTGAGCAACACGCCCACCATTGTTTTCTGATACGAATTGAAAGGGGATTTGTAAAGCCTTAAATACAAACCAATGGTGCTTATGGGCTCCAGGATCCTGAGGGATCGTTTGGAGTATGAACTAGTTATTGGTGACCGGCTACTATGGGAGTGCATCTCCTGACGTTGCTCCAGTGCTCTGTGGATTAGACCTTTAGGTCAAAAGCTCGGTGTGTGGCCTCCTAATAAAACCACCCGTTTCATTTTGGGCACCCGATTAGTATCCCAGCTCTCACACAAATCAAATTAGTTTGGTGTGGCGCATATATACTTGTACTAATATTTATGTGTTTAGAAAAATAAAATAAATATAAAGGGTAGTTGTAGAGATTATTGATCTTAGATTGATATTATGAATGCATCAACGTTAGATCAACATTGAAAACCTGGATCCATTGTACCGCCATTTCATTCTAGTAATATAGGACTCCTCTGACAGTACACGTCCACGGTTCAGCACACAGGATCCGAACCCACGACCTTTGGTCTCGTACGTGAACTATGAATCTCTAGACCACTGAGCCAGTATTGTTTAATCTGATACCAGCGAGCTATAAACTAAAACGTTTAGTTGATTATCTATCCTTAACTTTCAAGAAGAACATGTCAAATGACTGTGTGAAATTGCATCACGTTGATATTGCTTGTATGAAAAGTAACCATTATGATATTTCGTGAAATATTAGTGGCAAGACTATAATTTATGGACGGACCAATCAGCTTTAGGAAAACAAGTCTTAATTATTGGCGCGAAATTCATTCACTCATTTGGTCAATTAGCGTCTTAGCATTTTAGCTGATGTCAATTCGCCATGAAAACTATAGATCTAATGACTAAAACTAACCATCAACTACGAATCATAATCCTTATTCTACAAACTGATTTATAACAGTCATTTAGCCCTAGTAAATAGGTATACACTCTCAAAGTCACTTGGGCGTCACCCAAAGGTCGTCCATAAATTATAGTCTTACCATACTCACTTGTTACACTTCTTGGTAGATGGCCTATCCGTATATTATTTTGTTTTGGAAGTTTAATACTAACAGTCTCCAAAGATTGGATCATTGAGTTTTCTTTCAAAGTTACCACCGTTTGTCTTTGTACACACCATTTAAACGATTACCGGCGGATTGGAAAATGCTGACATGTCAAAATTATTTTGTCATGTAATAAGTAGCAAATAATTTAAAATAGTTTAGTATAATTTATTATCAATAGTTGAGACCATGAGTCGATTGAACGTAGACCATCATTGAAAGCCTGGAAGCACTAGACGGCCGTTGCGTCCTATTGTAGGACTTTTCAGCAGTGCACATCCACGATCCCGCGAAAGACTGATAGGTCCTGAGTTCAAATCCCACGAGGCGGGGTCGTGGATACGCACTGTTGAGGAGTCCCATACTGAGACAAAACGGCCTTCCAGCGCTTCTAGGTTTTCCATGGTAGCATAGCTTCAATTGACTCATGAATTTAACTATTAAATTACTATAATATCTACAAAACTCCTATCTGAGTTTACCATAACTACGAATTACACATGATGGTTCCATGTCATTCTTGATAGACTAAATGAATTAGAAGTAGACAGAGAATGATGAAATATCACTAATTGGTTGAGATTTGTAATGTAGACCTGTGAAGGCTGATTCAATGTTGGAAGTCTAACTTTTACCAATGAAATGTAAAGATAAGATTTATTCAAAGCACAAATGGATGCTACTGAAATTCCTTTTCATCGACTGTAAGATCATTCATCAAGTGGAATGTATTTTACGTACAGTAACTTGGAGTGAAGCGGTCTTGACTCTTATTTTATACTTTACATGATACGGACATTGATATTTACTTTTAATTTATTTGTATTTACAGAAGCGCCAAGTAAGTCAACTTCTATGTGTCTGTATATCATCAATTTATTGTTATTCTTAATTACTTAGAAACAGTAATTTGACATCAGTTAGAATACAAATAAAAACCATCCAATTCTGTGTAGTGGTTAAATCTTAATATGTATCTCCTAAGCAATAAACATTCACAACTTTTTAATGGGGCCCTTCCCTCTGATATCAATTAGACCGCATGGTGCTGTCGATAGGCTCACCATTTTAGTGGCACGGGATATGACTCCAGTGAGATCGATTCTGATTGCTGTTGAGATATACATATCGTCAATCCTCGTATATTATCATCGACTTAACTCGCATTAGTCAATAACAAAATTAAATAAGTCAAATAAAAGAATGGATTATTGAATGTGTATATTTCATGCACACATTGATTTGAACGAAAAGAAGAGGGCGAAGCGAAATGACGCGCGGTGGAGAGTGCATGTGAGCCAACTCCAATTAACCGAGCGTTATTCAATATCTACGGTCAAACAAAAATAACTTACTGACATGTGATGAATGCGATCAGAAGAGCACACACATATGCGCTCGTATAAAAACAGTCAAGATTGATAAGCGAATAATTAACAAGGTCAAAATGTGACTCAAATAGAATGAATAGATTGGCCTATCCAGAAGCTAGAATAAGGTAATATTGGCTTAGCATATCAACTGACACTACAACATTAAGATATCATGACGAATAAATGACCATTGAAACCATTGGATTAGACAGTAACGGAAAACATTTCCAAAATACAATCAATTCACTACTTACCGGCACATTTATGCCGAATGTCTACGTAAACTTCAAATTCATCTAGGTGATTTCTAAATAAAATATCAAGAACTTATCTCAAATTCGGTCATAAACGAGGTGAATGTTGTAGTTGAGTAGTGCTTTACGAATATGATAATAATCTGTAAGTAGCACCTATCATCAACTGGTGTTTATAAATTTCTGGGGGTTAAACTATCACTCATCCAAGTAAAATGGTTATCAAGGAGATACATAGAATCTATTCTCACAACGGAATGAGTAGAGTTATATTGGTAGGTTGAAGAATGCTGGTCGGCTGCCTATGCTCCATTGAGAGCAACAGGCGTAAGTAAGGAAGTAATTATTCAGTTATTATTAAGTGATCATTATACAAGCACATTGAAAAGAAATCCTGAATAAAGATACAAACACATAGACACGTTTGAGAGTAATACACTTGCCAATAAAGACAATTATCATTACAGTTTTAACAATAATACAAATTGCATAATTAATCATTATGTGATGTGGACTACTTATATACATAAATATGAGTAGTATGCCGTAGAAAACGAAAGTGGAATGTTCATCAAACGAAAATTAAATTAATGAGAAATAGAAAGAAAACAGAAATCAATTGGATAAACAACAGGATTGAAAGTATCATGAAGAATGTAAAAGACAATTGAGAGAAGATGGATAGATGATGTATTTGATCTATGATTTTCATCCTTAACAAACTCACAGTGAGGTTGTCCGCACAACAATTCATCTGTGATCAATATATAATGAATCATAATTACGTAATAAGTAGAGATAATGACAGTACAGATTTCGGTGAGACAATAATACATGGACGAGCCTATCAGATTCGTTTGAGAGATTTCAAGGTCCCAGCGCCAACTTCAATACTTAATGTTAATGTACGATCAGTTCATAGGGGATTTTATATAAAACATGATAATTAGGCAGCTATAACAAATAAAAAGCAAGACTATCATTTGTGGACGAATCAATCAGGTATAAGATAATAGATCTCGGGTTTTAACCCGAAAGCCTTTCAACCATTTGGCATTATAGCTGATGTCAGTTCTTGATGAAAACCCCATATATATAGTTCCTAACTAAGGCAAATTATGACAATTATCGAGAACTGGATAATAGAAGTACCAGTAACACTGGTTGCAGCCAGGTACTACAATACATACGGATGTTTGGAGAGTGTACAGACTCCTACATAAGCTTGGTTATGTGCATCGTGTTGTTATCCATAAGTAGCATTTTGTTCACTCAACAACCGGAGTGCACATAAACAATATTAAAGCTGTGTGGTCGAGGTTGAAAGGGTTTTTGAGACTTTATCGTGGCTCCAGATGCCGACTATTCTGTAGCCGTTGGATGATTTCCTCCAATGTCTGCCTTACGATTTTAGAACCTCTGAACCTCTCTCTAACCTTGATAAGTTTTTGAACCACGTATAAGAAGTGTATCCACTTTATTTCTTTGGTTTTGTATAACATATTTTTACTCTATACTGACTATTTGCTGATTGTCTAATCTTTCTCAAGGTCACACAAGATTCGTTCAAGGTTGTCCATAAATTAGAGTCTCGCCATCGATCAATTCGCTAGATAGTCTTGTACAGTATATAGATTGAGTAAAACGTTTTACAGCCTTTCCCTGACTTCGTAAGATTATATCGAGGAACTGATGTATGATCTCGTTGCTATGGTAACAAAGCTTGTAGCCAAGATTCTCCATTTTCTTTGTTATATGTTGGAATAAATTCGTCTTTAATAATATATAGATACCTATGATGTCTGCTGTAGGTATTGTCTAATAGTAGTATGGGCACCAACAGAACTTCCAAACAGTTTCTGATATCAGTCTATATACTTTGTATGACTATATTCCAAAACTAAGTCCTAAAACATTAATCAATATGTCCAATCATAATTGTTATATTGTAGTGCTCATTAGTATACCTAGAGGTAAGTACCTAATCATTCACTTTACACCTTACATTAACATCCATATATGTGTATCTTTATATGTTACAATAGTGCTTACAAGAACTATGTTTTAAACTCTTATTATATGGAAACAAATACAATAAATTGTTGAAATGTATGTGGAATCATTTATGTAACTAAGAAGGATCATTAATGCAGAAAGAGGATCTAATACAGATATAAAGGTGACGATTGGCAAAGGATAAGTCGCATTCATACAACTGAAGAATATATGGAATTCAATATGAACGTCAACACTCTTCTACTATTGATGTTTAGAACTATAACTGATCAGTATTGAGTTCGAGTCCCAATGGGAACATCAAATTTGGAATGTAAGTCCATCTAGCTGATGAGTCCCATATAGGACGAAACGCGTCTCACACTTCTATCAGATAATAGAATTTTAAATTCCCATAGATGAATTCAATGCAATGGAATGAAAACAAACTGTTTGTATATTCCACTAATTAGTGCGAAAGGAATAGTATTTGATATGAATTTTTGATCATTACTTCGATGGTTAAAATGAGAGTAATCCTGAATCTTCTAAATGAAGAAGAAGAAGACAGTTCTACTGTAAGGAGCTGAAACTTGGAGAACTACAACAACCACCATCAAGAAGGTACAAGTATTTATAAATAGTTGTCTACGCAAGATACTCAACATCCATTAGCCGGATACCATCAGTAAGAGCCTTTTGTGGGAGACAACAAACCAGCTTCCAGCTGAAGAAGAAATTAGGAAAAGACGATGGAAATGGATAGGACATACATGAAGGAAATCATCAAACTGCATCACGAGACAAGCCCTAACTTGGGATCCTGAAGGAAGACGGAAAAAAGGAAGGCCAAAGAACACATTACGTCGGATAATAGAAGCAGATATGAAAAGGATGAATAGCAACTGGAAGGAGCTGGAAAGGATTGCCCAGGACAATGCTGGATGGAGAATGCTGGTGAGCAGCCTATGCTCCTTCATGAGGTGTAACAGGCGTAAGTAAGTAATTAAAATCCTGAATCTTTATTAGTTTAAGTCATCAACTATTACAAAGAAGCGAATGACTGAAATTTCATACTGAATATAATCGACTAATATTTTAATGAACGACAACACACAAGTAGAGACAATCGAATGTATTTGAACTCACAAAATGTCAATCAATTGTTTCAAATTTCATTGTTCCTTAATTTCCACATCAATCCTTCACTGTTCTCGTTCTCTTTTCCTCGATTTTCTTAATCTTCCGCAACAAGACACTTCACTTTCGGATGATGTAACATACTACTTATATCTGTCGACTTCAGTAGTACACAGCACACTATTAGTATTATTAGTACTGTTACAACTACTGTAGTGAACGAGTTCACATGTGGGGATAACCAAACGTACTTAAACATAAAGTTACAGATTCTCTTAGTAAAATCTGAGAACCATACAGTAAATATCAGTCAATCTTCTCAGACTTGATTGTTCCTTCATCTCCACAGCAATCACCTTCTGCCTCCCCCCCCCAGGTATTTCACTTCCGATTGATGATACATCCTACTACTACTACTACTACTACTTATATCTGTTGACATCAGTAGTACACAACAGAATATGTTTATAATTATGTCAGGAATGAAATATCTGTACATTTTACTCTATAATTAGTCATTATTTTAAATATTAGGGAAATGAATAATTTTCTAATTGTTCATCAAATGATCTACATTAGAGTTTTTCCCAAAAGAAACTGTAACAGAGTAAGTTTCAATGAATCATTTTCATTATCTTTTCTACTTATGGTTAGCATGTTTTTAGCGAGTTAATTTTCTGCGGGATGGGGTTGCTAAGCTCATGCTCAACTCTTCTTTTTTTTCCGGGTTTGGGACCGGTAGTAGCTTCCAGGAGGGCTCCAGGCAGTTAACATGATAGAACACAGATTATCAATGTGTTGAAATATTTTACTTACTAAAGAATATAGATACTACTTATTAAGATGAGATAGAGGCTAAAGGTAATTCGAAACCAAAGTTTTGTGTTATTTGGCACTTGTCAGCAAAGGGTAACTGTAATCTTGAGGGAGCTAATGTTCATTGACGTATTTGATCTCGTGTCACAGAGCTTCACATTCAGAGACGTTATCACTGTTCTATTTGGGTTACGACTGAACTCCTGTAAGACTAAGATGTATTTACAATTGATTGATCACTAGATGGTGATCAATGTCATGTGTGTCAGGTCTTCTTGAATGCAGATCGAATCCTAACGACCAATTTGCAAACCTAGGTCTTGAATTTCCTATCGACTACCTCAACATTGTGCACGTAATGGTGAATCACGTAGACTAGTAGCCACATTACAAATTGGCCGACAGGATACAGTCTGTATTAAGAAGAACCTGACAAACATGATATTGATCACCATTCAGTGATCAATTAATTGTAACTACTTCTTACATTATAGTATACATAAGGTACACAGTTCATCGATTTTCATTACTTCAAGAATATCTATGACTGAAATTCAAATACATGTAGTGTTATGCCATAATGTATGAACTGTCATTAATGAAACAATGGTTTTTACTTAATCTTCGTGTAAATAATTTTAATACTCCTCGCAGAACCCTCTATGAAGATAGACGTATCAGGAGACGTACTTGTCTATTTATAATACTTCAAGTGGATAGATATTGTTGAGATGGATTGTTTATTTTTATAAGTGGTGTAAGATGAACAGGGCTTCTTTTAAAATAGTTGAATTCACGAGTCAGTTAAAGCTGGATGACCATGGAAAACCCGGAAGTACTAGACGGCTGTTTCGCTTCTAGCAACATCTACTGAGTCTTAATAGTCACCTACTTGTGCAAGGGGGTGAAGTTTAAATTCACTTGATGCTGTTTTACTTGTAACTTCTGATTGTTATTAAGGACTGCAATTGGCATATGTACATCCTGTGAGAATTGCCGCGATCTAGTGTTAAGTATTAAGTTTTTTAAACAAAGATGAATAGTAGCTAGCTATGGGATCCAGTTTGACTCGCGTTTCATCCTATTTTGTACTCGTCAGCTAGATATACCTGCATCTCACAATTGATGTTCACTCCGGGACCCGAACCCAGTACCGTAAAGCACTACCTGGATTCAGACTAACAGTTGAAATGTGATATATGATGAAGGAGACTAGTTATTCACGATCACGGGGAATGTAAAGGTTATTCAAAAATTTATGACCAATACATTTGATCACTGAAGACATTGATTTTGATACCTCAGTTGGTTAGCATAGTAAACACCGTTATAGAAGTCTATCTTCAACTGTATGAAAATATTATGCAATGCTTGTCTGGAAGATTAGATTATGCATATATCTTAACAAATATATCTTAAACAGTTCACAATTAGAGGATGATAGTCAGTCAGCCAGCTACAACGTAGGACCAGGCATATATATGCATCGATCCAAGTTGCCATACCTCATTAGTACAGCAAGATAAACACCGGATTCAATGATAGTAATATATAAAAGAAAGATCTCATTTACAGATATAGTACAGAAAGGAAGAATTAGTTGATAGAAAGCAAGATATAAAGCATTTTTATTCTTGCAGATCACCATGAAAAATCTGAAAATACTAGACGGTTGTTTCGTCCCAGTATAGTACTCCTCATCAATGCTCATCCACGATCTCGCTTATACAATTCAAATTCAACGATTAACTTATTACAATCTTCACAAAATCCTCCTTTGGATAATAAAAGCATTTCGAGTTTTTTCTTTAAAGGATTATGTGTTTGTTTATTTTGCATTATAACATTATAACTTCAGGGTGGAACCAACTTGGGAGTATGTTATGCATTGTTAGGAAAACTGTTACTTATGACTTTATTTATATCTTTTTCTATCACATTCTTATGTATATACGATACTTATAAATGGGTTCTAATTATAAAAACTACTATTTATATGTATTGTGATGACTTTATCTTTTAGATACAATGTTATTAGTCGTTGATATACTTCCACGCCAACACCTAATAACATTGGGTGATATGGATAAGAGTCGACCACAATGGCGTAGGTATATATACATATTTACTACCATTGAATTAACTACTTCTATGAATTTGTGGCTCATCTTGTTGTGCTCATGTGGTATGGTCACTTGGACCAATGCATATATGTGCTTGTTCCTACAATGTAGCTGACTGCCTGACATTGACGTGCAATGTTGACTAGTGTTGGAGACTGTTGGAAGAAAGTTAGGGGCGGCCTAACCAAAAATGTGACATCAATCCTTGAAGTCACTAACTTCTAGTTTGAGCCATGGTGATGAATGCAGAATACTTGATTGGGGTCCACGTGACTATCGTAACCAATGTTTGGAGACTGTGGGTGCTGTACTAATGAGGTATGGCGGCTTGGACTGATGCATATATGTGTCTGGCCCTACATTGTAGCTGATTGGACTGATTGGTCTTATCATGAATGTTATTAAGCATATTCTAGTGTTTCTCAATTCCATAATTCAACATTTCTGAGGTTATCTAAAATCTGTATTATACAGAATTACAACAACCACAATGTGAGTTTATTTTATGAGTTTTTTTTAAAGGGAACTACATTAATTTAAAATAAGATATAAGATGGTGGTTGGAGGTAGTCGACAGTGAACGTAATCTCGATTGATCTAGACTATTGGCCATGTGGTGTGTGCTACTTATGTCAACATAAGTAGTATATAACACTGGCAGTAGAATCTAAAGAAGATCAAAGAGGAAAGAATGAGAACAGAAAGCAACTGATATGAACATGCAAGAACAATGAAATCTGAGACGATGGACTAATATTTACAAAAGGAAACAATCAAGTTTGAGACAATGGATTGATATTTCGCAAATGAAGTACTTACTGTATAGTTCATGGATTTTAATAAGACAGTCTGTAATTCGATGGTCCCTACTTGTGTTCTCGTTTACTACAGACACATTACAACTTTGATCGATAGGATTCTATCTGAACTAAGAAGGATCTGACGTACATAACATTGATCATCACTCAGTGATCAATCAATTTATTGATCAGTAATAAACATTTATTGATCAATTGTAAAAGAACCATGAAGGGGGTTCATACGTTGTTGCTTTCAATGATGAATATTTAGTTCAGAAACTGGTTAACTGCCTCAATCTATTGTTCAGATTAGAATTTAGAATTGGATACATTAGTTATTACCGTAAACACTTCAGTACTGTATTACACGAATTAACAATATGTTCAAAAGTCAAGATCCTCTCTTTTATATTGGGTTTTTAGATCATGTTTGATATGGTTATAAAAAATTATTGGATGGATTCATTTTCAATAACCCATTTAACTATATAAAGGATGTTATGACGTGCAGTGTTCAAAGTCTGATACTGAGACATGGTATGCTAAGCCCTAACCCCCTTAACTGACTATTTGAGCGAGAATAAAAGAGTAGGTGAGAAAGTGTATTGGACTACCGAATGAAATGTATGAATACACATCCATATATATATACCATTCTAACTTTAGGAAATTGATCCATTGACCCAATGAACTGAAATTCATCTTTGAACAAATTCTGATTGCCATCGATTGACCTTTTCATTAAGGTGACTTCTATTTCATTCATCCTATCAGAAAAGATTTAAATGTCTAGATGTTAAGCGTTTGCATACGAGATCTAAGTTTGTGAGTTCGATTACTGTACTGAGGGTTGATAATTGTGTAGCTAATGAATCTTACACTAGAACGAAACGACCATCTAGGGCTTCCAAGTTTAGATAAGACCAATTTTCCTATTCATAGATAACTGTTATTACTATTATTGTACGTTTATTGTATATGAATGAATATTCATTTAACCTACATTTTCCAATATTAGACCAATTCATCTCTTTATGGTTTGTGAAATTATCCAATTGTACAATTTGTAATGTTTCTTGCTAGAGAACCTACGACGTGAGCGCTTAACAGATGTCCTAATTTGTTATAACTTTCAAGAACATTATTATTATTATTATTATTATTATTATTATTATTATTATTAGTAGTAGTAGTAGTAGTAGTAGTAGTAGCAGTAGTAGTAGTATTGATAGTAGTAGTATTAGTATTGGTAGTAGTAGTAGTAGTATTGGTAGTAGTAGTATTAGTATTGGTAGTAGTAGTAGTAGTATTGGTAGTAGTAGTATTAGTATTGGTAGTAGTAGTAGTAGTATTAGTATTGGTAGTAGTAGTAGTAGTAGTAGTAGTAGTAGTAGTAGTAGTAGTAGTAGTAGTAGTAGTAGTAGGAGGAGGAGGAGGAGGAGGAGGAGGAGGAGGAGGAGGAGGAGGAGGAGGTGGAGGAGAAGGAGTATCAAATGTGTATTGAAATGTTTGAATGATATGTAGGAGATATACTCTACAATTTATCAAATTTTACATTCACAAATTGTATGATCAATCATTAATTTGATACGTTTGTAGTATATGCTACTGATATCAACAGATATTAGTAGTATGTAACATCAGTCGTAAGTGGAAAATCTGGCAGCAGTAAACTAAGAAGAACAGGGAAACAGAAAGAAATTTTGGACTAAAAGAATCATAAAGAATGTGGCGAACAAATGATGGAATTTTACAAATGAAGTATTCAATATGTAGTTCTCATATGTTACCAAGAGATTCAGTAGTTTTGTACCAACTTAAGATGGTTTCCCCTTGTGTATTCCTGTTATTGTTTCATACTGAGACAAATTGTTCGTTATATCGCCCTATCAGGGAGAAAATACTTGCTTACTTACTTACGCCTGTTATCCTTAATGAAACACAGGCCGTCGACCAGCATTCCCCTAAACCACTCTATCCTCGGCCTTCCTTTCTAGTTCTATCCAATTGTTGTTTATTCTTCTCATATCTGTCTACATTTCTTGGCATAATGTGTTCTTTGGTCTTCCTCTTCTCCTTTGGCCTTGAAGATTTCAGATGAGGGCTTGCCTTGTGACGGTGAAGAAAATACGGTAACTGCCAAATTGACCTCAGAGTATATCCAAGAACTAGACTGATACCACATTAATAACAAGTATGGATCATGTTTATGATTATAGTTTTTGGCAGTTTATTAATAGTTGAATATGTGTAGTTTGTATTAGAATTCCGTTGATGTAAATTTATAACCCTTGAGATATTCATTACGTAACTGTTTTGTTTTCTAGTGAAGATAGTGAAGAATCATCGTAAGTTTAATGGAACTTTCTATTTACCTCTCAATTGCGAACGATTACTAACATTTTCAATGAAACCAATTGATTACATCATGGTGTATTTCATTATTCGTTATTATAATCATCATCACCAGTGTAGGAGTAGGCACACATATATGCATCAGTCCAAGTTGCCATACCTAATTAGCACAGCAAGACGAACGCCGGATTCATAGAAGTAGTTAATTCAATAGTGATAATATATAAAAGAAAGACTGTGTATGAGGATATGATAGACGAAGAAAGAATTAGTTGGTAGAAAGAAAGATATAAAGCGATTTTAATCGCATAGTTTAGAGGAGGACAGAGAATGTATACACCGATGCCATTGTGATCGATTCTGAGCCACGCCACCCAAAGTCTCCAACTATTGGTTACAATAGTCACGCCTACCTCAACCAATTAGTCTGCATTTATCAACTTGGCTCACACTATAAGTTAGTGACTTCATGGACTGATGTGACATTTTGGTTTAGTCATGCTAGTTTGACAATAAACAAATCGTATTTCCAGGTTTTCCATGGTGATCTAGCTTCAATTGGCTCATGGTCTTAACTGTTTAAATTACTATAATCTCCACAAAATGCCTTCTGATACTAATCAATGTATACTCACTAGTGACTGGCTTCAAGATATATATCCTGGAGTTCTAGTGAGAAGCAGTGACCAGGTAGTAAATCACTGATGACAATGGTGGATGTGTCACTCAATTTTCGTGGGTTAGTTGAAGTTAGACATTAACATCGTTGGGTAACGGCTTAGTGGTGTAGTTGGTTAAGCTCCTGGCGCGAGGTCGATAGGTCCTGGGTTCCGATCCCGCGGGGCGGGATCGTGCGTACATAGTGCTGGGAAGTCTCTTACTAGGACAAGACTGCCGTCCAGTGCTCCCAGGTTTCCCATGGTGGTCCAGCTTCAATTGACTCATGATCTCGACTGTTTAAATCGTATTTTATCTAAACTGATCATCTTACCATAGAAATATTCAACGTTAACCAACTTCATTGCTGTAAATTAGCATTGGTAGAATGAAGACAGTTTCGAATAATCAATTTGGTTTAAATAATACATCCACCTTCAAATCTAAGTTCACAGAGTGTATATTGAAACCGTAATTTTTTACATTTACTTAGATATCAGATTGATAATCCATTGAGATTATTATCATTTGACTGTATGAATACATTATATGTGTATTTCTTTTCTTCACAGGTCAATATATCAAATTCTACTGTGAGTAATTTTCATGATCTTAAACATTCCTTTTATCGATTATTTATATCTTTGTTGTTTAAACATACATTTATGATCAACTATTCATAAGTCATTCAATCGACAGTTTGGAATTAACTGGACGATTTGAACTTCGTAGATGACCTAGCTCTTCTGTAACCATACACATCAACAAATGCAGGTCAGGATAAACAGTGTAGCAGAAGCCACTGTATCAAATAATACAAAGAGAACACCAACTCAATCACACTTGGTGGACGAACTCTGGAAGATGTGGAAAGTTTCACTTATCTCACTATCATCATCCATGAATGTGGAAGATCTGATGCAAACATAAAGACAACGATTGGCAAGGCAATGACAACATAAATACAAATGAAAGACATATGGAACTCAAAACAACTGTCAGTCACTATCATAGTCACAATCTTCTACTGTATGGAGCTGAAACTTTGAGAACTATCACAACAATCATTAAAACGGTAAAAGTTATTTATAAACAATGGTCTACATAATATACTCAATAACCGTTGACCGGATACCATCAGCAACAACCTACTATGGGAGAGGACATATCAGCTTCCAAATGAAAAGGAAATTAGGAAAAGGAGATAGAAGTGGATGGGACACTGTAATAACTCGCAACAGCCAATTAGAGAGCAGCGACTTATCGATCGGACCAAGGACGCATAAAACACGTGCGAGCAGCCTAGAGTCCTGATTGGTCCTGCTTCCCGCCTAACCCAGCCAGATAAGTCCAGAACACCAATCTAGGCCTCTGCGATGTGAATCCTTTATTTCAAACATACTCTGTTCATATACCAATCAAACAGACCACATCGTACCAACAAAATATGAAACAACATTTGTACAAGAATAAGCCAGATGTGGCTGTGAATGAGGGAGGTAGTAATTGATAGACTGGGTATAACTCAAGAATGGTAAAACGTATAATAATAGTTTATGGGTCAAAATAAAGCTTATAATAAGAGAGACATAAATATGAATAGTGTAGTTAATTAACAATTATATGATAAAAATGTAAGTATAGTATTGGTCCACAAATGGGTCCCAAAAGTTATCATTCATTATCCCTGTCGACACATAACAGACACACATCAAGGAAATCATCAAACTGCCTCACGAGACAATTCCTAACTTGGAATCCTGAAGGACAACCTAGAAGAAGAAGGCCGAAGAACACATTACTTTGGGAATTGGAAGCAAACATAAAAAAGGATGAATAACAACTAGAAGCAACTGAAAAGCATTGCCCAGGACATGACTGAATGGAGAAGACTGATTAGCGGCTTATGCTCCTCCACAAGCGGTAACATGAGTAAGTAAATAAGCACTCCCATAGGAATGAACTAAAGAACTGCAAATCTTGAAATGGTTTACAATTTCAAGGATTTATATATAAAATTTTGATCGGAAATTCATAGAAACATTGAGTAAAGTTCATTGACAGAATCGTTGAATCTTCCACTGTATGTTATTAATATGCTCTATTATTTCATTGAAGAATAAGTTCCATTAGGTCTAGACACACCTTCTGTTAAGTTTGTCTTACATTGTTCCTTTTCTACTCTTTTGCATATTGTCATATACTACTTATTTACATTCAGTAAGCAGTTGTATTCCGAACAACTTTCACACTTATGTTGTAACTCGAGTTCTACTGTGACATTCTGAAATGTTCACATATATTTTTAACGTTCATTGTACTTATCATTATAATCACTGTGCTTAAATTACTGTAACGGGTACCCACAGTTTTGTGCATTTGTTTAAACGCAACAGTTTCCATATTGTTTGCTCTTGGTTCGAGTTTCGGTTGCTCATAAACTGTTATCAAATTTAGACACAGCTATTAGCTGTCTTTGTACTATCGAAGCCTTTGTTATTTTCATTCTTGAAGGACGCGTTTGAACGCCTAGACACCTCACAAGTTGAGGTTTGTAGCAAAATTTTGTGTATTATTCAATAAAAAACCCCTATTGTAGACAAATCGTTGTTTTGGAACTTCGATTTTGCGCGTATGTCAATCGGGGTTACTTGGACGCTTCGATAGAATTAACACCTTCTTTGGACTTGTTTCAGGAATCCAGTCAAAATTTTGACTAACATCAAGTGAATTTCAACAAAGTATCACATTCCGTAAAGTTCAAGACAATAACACTGTTAGTTGCTGGCCGGTTCAGTGATCTAGAGATTAAGCGTTCGCGCGCCAAACCGATAGACCCTGGGTTAGAATCTTGTGAGACGGGGTCGTGGGTGTTTAATTGCTGAAGAGTCCAATACTAGGACGAAACAGTTATCTATTGCTTTCAAATTTTCCATGATGGTTTAGCTTCAACTGACTCCAATCATGGTTTCATTCAATTTTACATTTTGTTTGTTCTTTTTTTTAAAAAGAAATTTACTTCACAAATTATGGTAAGTTTTTTTTCTTTCAGTAAAATGAAGTCATTCCATGTTGACCATTGTCATACCATTTACTTACTTATAATTAACACATACAAGATGTTTGTTCCTTTTGTTGTTGGAAGGAACATCAGAATTTGACTGGAAATATCATTCCCAGTTGGGTTTTCCTTCATAGAATGATGTATGTTATATCTCGGATAAGTAGTAGGAAGGTTAGACAGATACAAGGTATTAGGGAATGATATTGGTAAATCAGTTGATGAGGTTGTGAATCTTCATCGACTAAGATGTTTGAACCACGTGTTACGTGATAAGTCTTGCTAATTGAACGCTATATTCCGTTTCTAAGCTATTCTCGTAACCCTCAAGTTAGAACTACACAGCGAATTGAACACGAGAGAAAAGGCGCAAAATATGCGAGAAGCACTTCACTCCAAAGGTTCGCTTTTGCACGGAAAATATAGGGTTTTTATAGTATTTTAGATGTCCTTTGATTTTCCGAAAATTCTGGAACGCTACTAAGCATAGTAGCAGTGTAGTAATCAGCTAATCAAAAACTCTACACGTGAGTTTTCACTTTCATAATGTTTCTGGCTAAACTTCAAGAGAACGCTGATTGAATAAAATGCTTCTTAGTGTTTCTTGAGCCTTTCTTGTCTTTTGCAAGAAGTTTTCTGGATCACCCCAACTTCACATATACATGAACATCGATTACCACGACATGCAATGCTGACAAGTGTTGGGGAGGGTTGGAAGAAAGTTAGGGGCGACCAAAACAAAACGTGGCATCAGTGCTTGAAGTCACTAGCTTGTGGTATGAACAATACTGATAGATGCAGACTATTTGGTTGATGTCCGCGTGACAATGTTAACTAATGGTTGGAGAATGTAGGTTACATGTGACCGAATTGATCACTGCGAATATCTCAATTCAGTAACTCAACGAATAAGCATGTCATAGTTTGATGCACATATTGCTAGATCTATTTCCTAGCGTAGACATAGGCAATGAAATCCAGGTGTGTTCACTTGATGAGCCTCAGAGTGAATGATAAATTCCACTGCTAGTTACAATTCATTCATTAAGCGAGAGTAGTTCATTCATTCAGATCATGACCCTACGAATGATTGTTATTGAAATATACATTCTGACTATTGGCGTATAATCTGCTTTAGTGTATAACGGAATGAAATAAGTCGAATAGGAGAATGGATTTTTGGATACAATCATAATAAAACGATCCGCCGGATGGATCAATGAGAAAAGTTGACATGAGGACAAAGTATCAACAAGATAATACGATTTGAGTATGTCCAAGTCGTGTTGCACAGGATTTGTTGAATGCATCGGATTAGAGATTGGTCTGTCTTCGTTGAGTTTATTCATCAAAAATCTAGAGTCTAGAAGTTTGAGATGGTGGAGAAGATTTGTAGCTCAGTTGATTGATTTTGATGGTATTGTGGATCGCGAGGTGGCTACTCTAAATTCTACCGATTGACCTGCTTCAGATATCCCAATTCGACCCCATTACTGTTCCCAATCTCCAATATATCCGAACACGAACCGTAGTTGAAAAATCGTTTATGGGGTCAGGAGCAGCAGAATAATGACTTACAAACAAATGCATATCTATACAGTTAGGATTACTATAAATATTGACCAACAAAGATGACACGTTAAATAATATTGACCAATAGGAAAATGACACGCGAAATAAATATTGATCAGTAAGGAAACGACCAATATGGAAATGACACCATTTAACATTCAAGGGTAGCGTTAGACTTAACCGGATAATTGTTTTTGGGATATTTTTCTGAGTATCCCAACAGATGGAGTTTTGTTCTCTGAGCTGGATGGTTTGGTCGTAAGGTTTTCATCGTTCTTCTGAACGACATCATCAGCACAAACTTCGAACACTTTACTTCTATCTGAAGTTTGTGCTAATGATGATGTGATTCAGAAGAACGATGAAAGCTCCACGATCAAACCATCCAGCTCAGAGAACAAAACTCCATCAAAAGTCTAGAAGTCTACTCATTGACACAGCGGTGGCGACTCAATGATAGAATGCTTGCCTGCCATGCCGACGGTTCGGGTTTGATTCTAGGCAGACGCTCCCCCCCCCTCAAAAGACTTTAAATTACAAGTTAATCGTCAAGTAAGTTTATTCAGAATGTCAACATTCTTTCTGATCAGTACATTTTCTCAAATAAGACAATCTGTATCTTTTTCCATTGTAGGGCAATGGTGAAATATTTACTGAACTTTCTGTAAAGAAGATGAAACCATGGAATTATTTACTTCGAGACTCCTTATTATTAACGTAGTATCTTTATACTAATGTAGAGATTGTTAAACAAACACCACTTTATTCTGATTCAAATTGATTTTAACTTGATAAACTTGTCTTCATTGTAATTAATTGAATAGATTTCTCAATACTTATTATCATATTTCATTGTAAATATGACAATGTTGACTGATTGGGTTACTGATGAAGTTCTGACTTGATTAGTACGAAACATAATATAGATAATAGTTGGATATCATACCATTCTATGATCAAAGTAAATATCACAAAAGGATTAGGGGCCTTTAAATTAAACCACAATAATCAATTACTTGCTTACTCCTGTTACCCCAATGGAGCACAGACCACCAGCTAGCATTCTCCAACCCACTCTGTCTTGGACCTTCCTTTCTAGTTCCATCCAATTCTTGTTCATTCTTCTCATATCTGTCTACATTTCTTCGTATAATGTGTTCTTTGGTCTTCCTCTTCTCTTTTGGCCTTGAGGATTTCAGATGAGGGCTTGTCTTGTGATGCAGTTGGGTGCTTTTCTCAATGTGTGTCCTATCCACTTCCAGCACGCAATGTTGAATCACCTTGACTGCTGGCCACATTGCAACTTGGTTGATAGCATTCAATTTGCACCCAACACATGTGACACTGATCACCACCCAGTGATCAGTCAATCATGATTGGATGCTTTTTTATCGATACTTGAAGATTTCAACAATTCCCGATATTCTCAATTGATTTGCCAAAATTCAAATGTTAACAATTATTATATAATCTCATATACTCTCATCGATTTTTACGGTTAATTTATACCTGCTGGGTGGCCAATGCTCCCTTACGAGGAGTAACAGGCTTAAGTAAGTAGGTAAGTATGTAGCACCTACCAACTTAATACTTGTTTCATTTCATATATTTTTTCAACGAATTATGAATAATACACTATACTAAACGGTATTAAATTCATTTGAACCTGTTGGACAAGCTGCCGAGAACTACGACGGAGCCCTCAGCGGCTCTAAAGAAGTCGAAAAGTTTTCATCTCTAGAATATCAGCGTGGCATGCTATAATTGGACGGTACCATAACTTGCCTCTTTACGCATTGACTGAATGATACTGTTGATATAACGAATGTTGATATCTATAAATACCTATGATTTTCTGTACATTTTGATTCTTACTCAACAACCACTTCTGCTTTCTTCTGTCTTCTGATTTACGACTATAAGAGGTTGTATACATTAAAGTGTTGTAGTTGTATTACCCGTATTCTGTATGAACCAAGTAATGAACTTAACAGAATCATTGAATTGAATGAATCAGTGAAGATAAGAAGAAACGAATAGAAGACACATTGACATTTTATTCAGTAAATTGTATTACATCATATATTACTATTGAATTTATTTGTTCAACTATTCATAATAAACTAAATGAATGTTAATATTCAACTTATTACGCAATCAAATGATCATTGTCCCACAGCCATGAATTTTGTTCTAATACATGAGGAAAGATAAACAATGAAATTAGTGGTATTATGTAACAGAATAAATGTGAATAGAATAAACTGTTATGTCCAACACTTTAACCGGGTTGGTGGACACGGAGAGTCCACCTAGTGGAGTTGGAAAACCCTGATTCTAAACCAATGGTGCACATGGGCTCCAGTATCCTGAAGGAACTCATGACGTATGAACCAATTATTGATCACTGGTTACCATGGAACTTAATCTCCTGACGTTGCTACACTATCTTGTAAGTTAGACCTTTATGTTAAAGGCTCCGAATGGTAACTTTTGGGATCTATTGATGGACCAATACTAAACGTATATTTCTATTGTATAATTATTAAGTAACTAAATTATGCATATTCATATTCCTCTTATCATAAGCTTTATTTTCACCCATAAACTATTATTATACGTTTTACCATTCTTGAGTTATACCCAGTCTATCAATTACTACCTCACTCATTCACAGCCACATTTGGCTAATTCTTGTACAAATGTTGTTTCATACTTTGTTGGTACGATGTGGTCTGTTTGATTGGTATATAAACAGAGTATGTTTGAAATATAACGATTCATATCTCAGAGGTCTAGATTGGTGTTCTGGACTTATCTGGCTGGGTTAGGCGGGAAGCAGGACCAATCAGGACTCTAGGCTGCTCGCACGTGTTTTATGCATCACTGGTCCGATCGATAAGTCGCTGCTCTCTAATCGATGGTCACAAGTTGTAACATAAACATAGTCTAAAATCAACTGCTTCTAAAGTCAATTATATGCTCTGTTCAATTCAAACTGATTAAGAACATATTATATAACGTACTGTGTATTTCTCAGGATGGAAGGTAATGATTAATGATGGTCAAATAGAAAATCCGCTCGATTTATATCTTGTAATATTTGGCACTTACTAGAAACATGTACCTGTAGCTTTGAGAGAATCGGCATTCCTCAATGTATTGGTTCTAGTATCACTAACTTCATTTTTCAAAGATATTACTGTTGAACTATCCAAGACACGATGACATATTGCGGATAAGTATAAAATAACATGGAACTTAGGTACCGAGTTATCTTGGCGACTACATCCAACCACTATAATATCTTATGTATATATCTGATATGTACAGATTTCTTAGCTGAACTAAGTTATATTACTGGAACGTTTAATGAGAAAAACTAATCAGTCTAATAATTATAGTGTACATAAATTGAATAACTCACAGAAATGTCTTCCATGTACTACATTTCAAATGTATGAAATAAAATTATGAAGCATAATATATTACTTAATTCTAAACTACTCATTAGATAATTCTTTAAAAATATAATTGATTGTCACATTACCAGTACCTCTCAATTATCCCCTATTTTTGAATAACTTTCAAAAAGGTGATCTGTTGCATACTACTGATTTCGACAGATATAAGTAGTATGTATGATCAATCAAAAGTAAAATATTTGGCGGAAAGTTTCACTTATCTAGGTAGCACCATTAATGAACATGGAGGATCTGATACAAACGTAATAGTGAGGATTATCAAAGGAAGGACCGCATTCATACAATAGAAGAACATATGCAAATCAAAACAGTTGTCAAGCTACAACAAAGTGAGAATCTTCAACACAATCCTACTGTACAGAGCTGGAATTTGGAGAACTACTGTAATCATCATCATTATCAAAACAGTACATGTATTTGTAAACAATTGCAAACACAAGATTTCTAATATTTGTTGATCGGATACCATCATCAATAACCTATTGCAAGAGTAAACAAAACCAATTTCCAGTTGAAGAGGAAATTAGGAAAAGATATTGAAGGTGGATGGGACATACATTGTGAAAATCGTCAGACTTAATCACAAAGCAAGCACTAATTTGAAATCATAAATAGAAACGGAAATGAAGAAGATCAAAGAACACATTTCGTCAAGAATTGGAAGTAAACATGAGAAGGATGAATAGTAACTGAAAACAACTGGAAAGTATTTCCCAAGTCAGATTTAGATGGAGGATGCTGTTGGGACGGTCTACACTTTTCTACGAGGATTAACAGGAGTAATTAAATAAGTAAGTTTCTTCCCAATTTAAACTAATTAACAAGGCGAGACTCTGTTTTATGGACAAGACAATCAGAAGAGTTTTAGAGATTTCAAGGTTACGGCGCCAACTTTAGTACTTAATGGTAACGTACGATCGGTTCAAAGGGGATTTTATATAAAACATGATAATTAAGCCCCTATGACAAATAAAACGGCGGGACTATGATTTGTGAACGAACCAATCAGGTATAAGATAACAGATCTCGTATTTTGGCCTCGAAAGTCTATCATCCATTTGACTAAAGAAATTTCTGGCATTATCGCTGATGTCAGTTCGTGATGAAAACCCCATATATATATAGTTCCTAACTAAGACAAATTATGACAATGATTGCGAACTGGATAATAAAAGCACCAGTAACACTGGGTGCAGTCAGGTACTACAATATATACGGATGATTGGAGAGCATACAGGTGACTACATAGAATTGATTACATGCATCGTGTCGTTATCTACAAGTGGCATTTTGTGGACAAAACAACAGGAGTACACACAAACAATATTGAAGCCATGTGGTCGAGGCTGAAAGAGTATTTGAGACTTTATCATGACTCCAGAGGCCGACTATTTTGTAGCCGTATGGATGATTTCCCCTACTGGATGCATTGTCATTTTAGAACCTCTGAACCTCTTTCTAACCTTGACGAGTTGTTGAACCACATATAAGAAGTGTATCCACTTTATTTCCTTGGTTTTGTATAACATATTTCTACTCCATACTGACTGTTTACTAATTGGCTAATCTTTCTCAAGGTCACTTAAGATTCGTTCAAAGGTTGTCCACAAATTAGAGTCTCGTCATCAACAAGATATAATTCTATTAACTCATTAGATTAACTGCAATGAATTTGTTGGGATATTCAGAAAAATATCCCAAAAATGATCCTGCTAAGTTTAATACTGTCCTTGAACGTGAAATGGTGTCATTTTCCTATTGGTCAATATTTGTGGTGGTCCTAACTGTATAAATATGCATTTGTCTGTGAAGTATCGTTCCTATTCCTATTCTTCTTCTTCTGACCCCATAAACAAATTTCATCTACGGTTCTTGTTCTGGTATACTGGAGATTGAAAAACAATAATGGGGTCCTACTGGGATATTTGAGGGATATCTGTTTGGGTTTTTACGTGAAAGTCCGGATGGTGTCTGGTTCTCCTGAAAACCAATGTAAAATTACCCTAGCTCACAAGGTATATAACTGTGAACTGGGATATCTGAAATTGGTCAGTCGGTGGAAAGTTAGAGTAGCGACCCCCATGGTCCACAAAAGAATTTTATTGAATTTTCAATGTTGTTTAAACTTTAAATCGATTTTATTAACTTGAACTAAGATCTTTATAAATGATAATAACAGAGAA